TCAGTACAGGCAGATCAATGATATTGTTGAATAAGAGTCCCTAACTAAAGCCCAGTTCTCCTCTGGACATATATATATATATATATATATTCATCTTCCCTTGCTGCGACATCTCTTCTGTGAGGCCGGGACAACCTGTCACTCATAAATCTATTGGTGGTGGACATGGTACAGTTTTTAACCATATTATGCTTCTACTTCCTCATGTAAACAATGCATTTTACATTAATAAGACACAAGTATAAAATGTCAACATCATTAATTATGAATAATGACATCAGTATTGCCGAATTAGCAGTTATGACTGTACCATATGAACACAGACTCACTTGGTAAATGGTCATTTAGTTATACGTTTAACATTGGTGGGTCTTTTGTTTGTTTGTTTGTTTTTGGTTGCACTTTATTTTATTTTGCACTTGCCTAAGAATTTCTTAGGCAAGTGCAAAATAAAATAAAGTGCAACCAAAAACAAACAAACAAACAAACAAAAGAGTATTAGTAGACTAATACAAGGCATGACACTTAAATATAAGGCAACTACATGGGTTTAGGGGTAGGTTCAGGGTTATACCTTTACCCAGTTACAGTAATTACTGTTATAAGTACATGTACATGGAGAACAGGACTGAACATTAGTGCTACCGTTTTTTTTTCAGGGTGTGCATTACAATGACTGGTTAACCTTAAGTGTCACCGGCCCACCGGTGGGCCCAAATCCATTACATTTTTAAAGCAGTAATATCCTATACTAAACTTAAACTAATCTTGACAAACTATATATCATTTGAAAGCTTACAATCTCTAGTTTCCATATTTGGTGATTGATTTTCAAAATGAATTACAGAGGAGCCGTAATTTATCAATTTGCAACAAGAATATTTTCATACTCCTAAGGCGTGTTTAGACCTTTATTATGAATTAGTGATGAACATGAAAAATCATTAAAGAAGGGTAGAAACCTCAGTTTATTTTCATGCCAAGAGTTCAAAAGATAGCATCCATTCAATTATTTTAGAAAAAAAGGTCTGAAAATGTTTTAAATATAAAGAAAAAAATAATAGATTCACCAGAGGTGGCAGCGAGCTATAACGCACATACTTGTTGTTTTTGTGTTTCTTAGAGGTTGAATTCATATCAAAAACTTCTCATAATACTTCTAAATTGGATGTCTACTTCATAAATTGTATGAAAATTGTGGAAATAATGGTTCATATCACTCAAAACACATATGGAAATGGAGGCGCCCTTATATGGGCAGTAATGGAGTCTGGTTGTCATCTAGTGGAAGCGTTCGGTACTGCGCCCACACAAAATCTTACTGAAAGATCTTAACTTGTTCAGATTTTTGGCTTTGTTTTGTTTTTTGCAGTTTTAGTCGCCCAGATTTTGAAAATATATATTTTATATAAAATATGAATAATTATATTTTTTACATTGTACATATTCATAAACTCAAACTTCTATAACCTTTTTTTTCTGTTTCACTTTCTTAATTTATTTTACTTCTACAAAAATCTGCCAAATGTCTTCTTTAAAACAAGACGAATCTTATGTCTATATTGCATGTCAAAGCATTCTTGAATTACAATCATTTAAGTTCGAAATGTGCATTTTGATGTATATTCAAAAAAAAAGGGGGGGGGGGGGGGGTGACACTTAAATATAAGGCAACTACATGGGTTTAGGGGTAGGTTCAGGGTTATACCTTTACCCAGTTACAGTAATTACTGTTATAAGTACATGTACATGGAGAACAGGACTGAACATTAAAGTGCTACCGTTTTTTTCAGGGTGTGCATTACAATGATCTTCCCACGCTTCAATAAAGACCCAGTAAAATGGTTTGTTGATTGTGATTTTTTCCTTGGACTTCCAGGAAAAAGCTTTAGAAATAAAAAGATGCATTTCAATATTTCATTGGTCCACTTGAGACATTCTACTAACTATAAGTAACTTTGCAACATATCAACTTAACCCGAACACCAGTCTACTAATACTCTAATGAGGGTTAATTGACATCTAGATGCAAAGTTACTTATAGTTAGTAGAGTGTCTCAAGTGGATCATCGAAATATAGAAATATATCTTCCTATTTCTAAATAGGCATTTAGAATGTCTAAAATGTAACCCATTTCTGTAGCTATATCAATGATTTTGACACTTTAGTCACCACTGAAATAGGTATTGACGTAGGCTGTTGACATAGGAGTCAACATTGGAAAAAAAATAGGTTTAGTAATTAAAGTTCCTTTTTTGTGAGTTTTTTATGTTGTTTTGTAGAAACACAATGTCATAGTATTTGCTGATGTGTTTTTTTGTGGGTATGTTACCTTTCCACATTAGTCTTGTCTTGTGCTGACATCTTTTGGCCGATGACAGAACTACAGGACAGAACAACATTTTCACCAAGGACTTGTGCTGGTTTTAAACAGCACATCCAGGGGCCAGTAGCGTAAACACACACAGCCAGTATGTTAAAGTCCCCGTGAACCGGAAGTTGCAAACGACTTTTCTCCAGTGTTGTAAATGGTAAATGGACTGCATTTTATATAGCGCTTTCACAGACCCAATGGCCACCAAAACGCTTTACAGTTTGCCTCACATTCACCCATTCATTCACCCATTCATACACTCATTCATACACCGACGGCGGTTGTGTTGTGACGTATTTCCGAGAGAAACGGAATACTAAATTAGGCAAAATAGTGGGCGTGACTTTTTTTCCAACTAGTACCTGATTGGATCTAGAAAAGTAGGTGTTTTCATTCAACCTGTCTACTGTCAGTTGGAGGGGCGTGGTTACGGATGTTAAGAAGACGCCCAAACCGTGAAACCTACGTCATCAGGCAAGGTCCTCCAATGCAGAGGGGAGGTGAAATTTCAGATTTTGATTAAAGATTACAAAGCCAAAAAAATGTTTTGTGTGGATTGACTTGCATGGATGAATTGTTCACCACAAAACGATCAATTTAGGCAAACAAAGTAAGTATGGTCAATTTTGAATTCATGGGGACTTTAAGAACTAGTACTAATCAGTCTTACTTTTCAGTATCAAATTGGACCATTCTAAGTTTTTATGTAACTGATTAAAAGTTATGAAGTCTTATGAAGAAGAAAAAGTAGATGACTAACTTGTAAGACTAGTATTAGCAACAATGAGATGGGCACCAGTGTAGTATGCATCAAGTCTAACTAGTAAACTGGTTAATCAAACCAGTCTCTAAATTACTGAACCATACTGGTCCTGCTAAGCTTCAACAGACTGATTCAGAGAGACTGCTGATTCATGAACCAATTATTTATTACAAAAATGCAAGACAGAACTCTTAAACTATAGTCTAATGGCAAACACAATACAAAAACATACATCTTTTATATAAGATGTAGGTCTGCTGCATTGAGAGATGAAATAGCTACAGCAATTGAAAACAAAGAAAATGACAAACATAAATCAAACCGTGAGGAGTGTGGACAAGAGTGCGGATAAACCTTATATTATTGGAAAGAATTGAAAACAATGGCAAGAACAAAGGAAATATATTAAAACTACCGACAACTACAGAGAGTACCAAGAGCGTTTTCTTTTTTTTTTGTGTGATAACATCATTCCGGGTGCAACAGTGTCATCTGTGCTTCATTTCAACTCTTCTCAAAGTCTCATTTTTCAACACCATAAATGGGTTAGTAATTGCTAATCAATTTCAATTCAGACAGTAAATGGTGAGAGAAAGTCCAGACGCGTATGATCATCGAACAGGAGAGCGATAACACACCTCTGATGAGTCTTCTGTGATGCATCCCAGAGCTCTGGTCTTACATAAAGTAGCTGAGGGCACTTGATCGATTTTTAAAAATGCATGGAAGATATTTCCGTGCCTCGCTCATTTAAGGTCTTGACCGGGAGATCCAAAGTCGCGTTCCAATTTCCTAACTATGTAGTGCTTCTGTCTATAAATACAATAGTGCAATCCTTGTTAAAATATGAAATCCCTTGGCTATTCCATAACTTATGAAGATACAGAAAAATAAATCAGATAGAACATCTTTTTTTTTTTTTTTTAACTTTTTACACATATACAGCAGAAGTAAAAAGCACACACTTTTGCGAGTATATTCTTTTCTCGTATTCATCAAGTGCACACAAATCTATATGAACAACATTTTAAGTGCATCTGTACACGTCCATGTCCAATAAGCATAAAATGCACCCTCCATGGACACAATGGATTTCATATTTTGACAAATGAACATGGAATAGGAAAGGAGGACCAAAGACAACATGTTGAGGAAACTAGTCCAATCCAGAGAGTCAAACCTAGAACAACCCAAAACACTCCCGTTCGCTCTCATCCAGCAGTTTTGAGTTAAACTGTATACACTTATAATATCCCATAAAACCAAACAGCAAAACCTGTTTTTGTGTGTCCAGACTTCAAGTGAGAAAATTTGTTGGTCTAAGAAATTAGGTCTCATAAATATAATTACAGGGGACATAATTGATTCAAACCGCACACTTAATGGAACAACGTTCAAGTAAATTGCATATAAAATTTACTTCTTGCATACAAACCTTTCCTTGCCTTTGCCCCTCCAACACACACCTCAATAAGCACTTTACTTTGGGTTCACAGGTTTAGTGCAAGCTCGAAAAATAAATAACACCTGCATTGCCAATGCCATCTGCTTTTCTCTGTCGCTTTTCTTGTGGACACCTAAAAAAGGGGGACATGAATTAACTACACAATTTGGCTTGCAAAGAATCACCTTCCCAGTAAACTGAACGAACAAAACAAAAGGGAATGTCAACCAAAACAAAAACAAAACATTTTCATTAACAAAGATTGCTACTATATCCCCTATAATGTGGCCGAAAAGGGCTGTGATAATTACAAGACTATTAGAAAGAAGCCACACAGCCAGGGATGCCGTGAAATAAGAATGAGGGGCAAACCAAAAAAAACCCAGCAAAAACACAACAACATCTGTGGAGCCTCAACAGTTCCAGAACAATCTCAATCCCTCTCAGTCCGACTCGTATTCCAGCGGGGCCACCTCGTCGATGACCAGTTCCTCTTCGCACTTAATGTCTTCCAGTGTCGGCGACAGCTTCATTCCCGCGTGGACCTTCTTATGGCGCGAGAAGCTGGAGGAGTGAACGAAAGTTTTCCCACACTGCGGGCATTCGTAGAGCTTCCCCGACGCGTGCGTTTGCTGGTGCTGCTTGAGGTTGGACAGGCGGATGAAGGTCTTCTTGCACACGTTGCAGGTGTAGCACTTGTCGCTGGCGTGTGTGTGCTCGTGGCGGGACAGGCTGGTGGTGTGGCTGAAGCGCTTGTCGCACATGCGGCAGGGGTACGGCCGCTCTTCGTTAGGCAAACACAGCCTCTTCTTGCCTCCTTTACTGTGCTTGTTCTTCTTGCACAGGGTGTAGTAGTTGGGCTTGTCGCGGGAGCACAGCTTCAGGCGGATCTTGAGGTCCGAGGACTTGTCGAGCGAGTCTTTGCCGTGCGTGTACGAGTTGAGGAGCTGCCGCACGTGAGCCACCTGGTGTTTGGAGAGGCCGGCGGAGTGGCTGAAGACCCTGTCGCACTGAGCGCACTGGTATTGCTTCTCTCGCTCACCCGATGAGACCGGCATTCGTTTATTCGTGCCGTGGCTGGATTGGAAACTGTGCTGGGTCATGATGGGCGCCGGGGTCGGCGCCGGGTACAACGGCCTAACGCTTTTATCCAAGCCTTTTTTGTGGATTAACCGATGCCGCGACAGACTGGAGCTGTGATTGAACGTTTTGCCACATGTGTTGCACGTGTGCAGTCTCTTGGTTTTGTGGCATTTCTTGTGAATCGCCAAAAGCCGCTTGCCGTTGCACCTTACCCCGCACAGATTGCACTGGAGAGACTTTTTGCTGTCGCCTAACTTGCTGAAACCCTTCGAGGAAGCGAGGGCCGATCTATCCGAGTGAACGTGCAGATGGCGAGCCAGACTGGAGGAATGGCTGTAGATCTTGCCACAGAAGTGGCACTTATAGGTTCTAGTGTGAGACACCTCCTTCTCCCAGGAAATATCAGAAACGTCCTCGGCTTCGCACAGCTGGCTGTTCTCCGGCTCCGTGTTGTCGTCCGAGCCTGATTCACTTCCCACCTCCTCCTCGTGCGTCGGGATCAAATTCGGATCTACTTCCTCACATTCTGGGTACACCGACTCGTAAGGGACAAAGAACGTCTCGTCCGGTTCCACTTTCACTATCTGATCGGAGGTGAAGCAACCAGCCTCGTCCAAATCCTTTTTGACACAGGCTATGGTGAATTTTGAGCCCACCTCGGCCCACTTGACCACGTATTCGATGGGTTGGGTGTCAAGCTCGACCGTGATGAAGTCTGCTCCTAAAGCGTCCTGCTCGGAGCAGGTCAGCTCTGTTTCTATCTCTTCCATTAGGGCTGATTTTCACGGCCCTTCTGTCGCTTTCTCACTGGGGAGCAGTGCCTTAATTTACACCTCAGCAAACCCTAGTAGGAAACAAAAACAAATAGCATTTGAGTTCGATTAAACAGTACACGCAATAATAACATACATCAACCAATATTTGGCTATTTTGAGATTATTGGCTGATAAAAAGAGATTATTATCATCTTCCTCTTGTGTAAATTCTAACAGCTTTGTCAATATATTTATTCTACAATGTAACTATTTCTGTAGTAGTTAATTTTGAGTTGATATTGACAACCCTCTACAATGTGAGTAAATCACTCGCATATGCGACCAAATTTCACGCTGGGCGACTAAAAAATGACTTTAATTAGCCAATGGCTAGTAATTGTACGATCTCAGTCGACTGTGATTGAGTTAGAGGAAAAAAGTTTAGCGCAGATACAATATCATTGCCAGCTGAGGCCACAATTGATGCTGTCGCGATCGGGCCAGTGCTACATCGCCATTAAAGTTTATCATTTGCATGTGTTTTTAAGCCTTGCCAATTTAAACATTGAAGTAGTGTTGTAAAAAGTCAAATTTGGTTGCATATGTGAGTGATTTACTCACATTGTAGAGGGTAGAGTTGTCAAAATGTACCGACTTCGGTACTGACATTTTTAAAATGTGAAGATTTGAGCGCTGTTGAGCGGAATCGTAAATACCTCTGATTGGCCATTGTGTTCACGCGCTCTTCGGATATGTCTGTGATTGGCTGCAATTCCGCTCAACAGCGCTCAAAGGGTCACGGTTTTAAAATTTAAAATTACAAAACTTTTTGACAAAACTACATTGAAGCGGAAGAAGATGCGAAAATAACTCGCACATCCGCAGCGCATGCCAAGAAAGCGTACGTAACAGTACGGACGTAAACAGTCGAGAAAGAAAACGCATGTGTAACAGTATCAGTATATTGGATCCTTGCATTCGGTCTTAAAGTGACAGCAGCCTAATATTCCTGCTGCGGTCTGTTTTTAACATTAATCAAACAAAAGACTCACTGCTTTCGACTAAATAATTTTGTAACTTTAATAAGGATTCATCTATATTTAATTCAGTGTTGTTTTACATTTGATTATTCAATTTCTGTACCTAATCTGTAGAACTACTGTTAGATTTACCTGAAGAGCACTGTTTATTTTATTTGTATCTTTGTTCTATTTTGTTTATTTGTGATATTCCTTGTAGTCTGGTTATTTGTTCTTATTTTATTTCAGACTGTTTACTTGTCTTTAATAGTGTTTGAAATTTATATTTTGTTTTATATTTATGTAGATATTTCTTTTTTAAATTTGCATTGTTCATATACAAAGTCTGGCAAGTAAAATAAAATAAAAATGAGTAGCCAATGGCAACTCGAGCTTCAGTGTGTCTGGATTGAGTAAAATACAGTAGTCAACATTTGAAGTGGATCAAAAAAGTTCATCAAAGTTGTCCTAAGACAAAAACAGGTATTATTCAAAATTAATGTATAACTTTGATGAAAGGTTTTGATCCACTTCAAATGTTGACTACTGTAATGTTGTTGTTTTTTATGGTCATGATATACTATTACTCGTACTGTATATCAGCATTATATCACTCTTAGCCACTGAAGAACCATGCAAGTCGACTGCTAGACAAAAACAAGTATAGGCTTCATATGAGACTCATGATCTATGCAAGATATTTAACTTCCTCTTATATGTTTTTTTTTTAAGGTCTGCACCATTAACAACAGACTATTCCTCGACTGTCATTTGAGAGACCCAGAACGATAACGTGTACATTTGTAGACAGTTCTACACTGGCATTTGCAGCATGTTCTGAAGAATCATTCTGACATTTACAGAACACTCTAAAGAATAACTCTGACATTTAAAATAACGTTATTCTGATATTTAGAGAACATTCCATAAAATCATTCTGACGTTTAGCTAAAGAACGTTATGGTTTTGACAGAACGTTCTGAAGAATCATTCTGACATTTAGAGACCGTTCAGAAGAATCGCTCTGATATCCCGGAGAATCGTTCTGCAATCCGTGCGAAATCTGTCAAATCCGTCGGAACGCGTCAACATGTCGATGATCTGTAAAATGAAAGCGGAGGTTCGCGCCAGGGTATTTCCTCATCAGCGGGATGCCGCGATCTCGCGTGTTTACCTGAGGCTCATTTATTTATAAACTCACCTTCTCTGATCAGTCGTGGTAACAGACATGCAAAACAATGTCTTTAAACCAGCAACAAAAAAGAAAAGCAGGCAAACAAAAGCGTTACAACGGTAAACAGGAAACACAACTGTGCATCGACACGGTGCATTGTGGGAAGGGATTAAATGGGGCTGCAACCGAGTGTCCAACTATAATTTTTCTTTTAAGAGCATTTAATGTCGCTCGGGTCGTGTTCAAGTTGTACACGTCAAGAACGTTTTAAGGTCTCGATACTAAAATGCAGACAAGAACTGTGCCATGAATCACCCTGACCTTGTGATGGCACGGAAGAGGCGTTCGCCAAAGCCTGACTCGTATTATAATAATGCCAGGATTCAATCGGCCCGCCATAAAATCGCACATATATTCAGCATTACAGACAGACGATCTAAGCGTAGTATATCTCACACCGAGGCCCAGATACACACATACTGAAACTGAATACGATGTGTACAAGCTGTACTTTCTGTACTACTGCCAGCTTGTGCTGAAATACCTCGCACTTACGGTTGCTCAAGAATAAATATTATAATCAATGAACATTTCTATCTATACTTGAGAGAAAACAGATAACCCGTGAGCCCATTCGGTGCTTAAAATACATTTTGATCGGTTATTCGTAAGAAAACGGATGCTTCAATCAGAGAAATAACAATACATTACGCTTCAGAAAGAGACGAAGGTATTATAAAGACTCCGAGAATAGTGACATATGGCCGGTGTGACTGTATGATATGTTGTATTTAAATTCCTCAATACAGTCAGTAAGAACCACTGTAATATTATCACAGCGCGTCTTCCTGTCCCCATGACTGCACTTCATTGTGATTGATTAACCAGAAGCACTGTTCAAACATTTTGAAATCAGCTAAGCCAGTTAAAAATGTATTTGTAAAGTAATTACCAAGCATTTAATGTGCAGTTTGGTCGATGGAAATCGGTTCGGTTCTGCCGCACCTCTGTCAGATCATCCCGATGTCGTCACGGATGTCATTTTTTCTCTCAGCCTCGACGCGTCACCGTTGATGTATAAAACACGTGGATCGACTTCCGCATTCCATTTTGAATATGATAAACAGCATCAATACAGTATGTTTTCTGAGATTGTGATATACTCAAAATAATTAAAAGGGACTGCCTGGAAATTACTGAATTTTTTAATTTTTTTATCACGGATTAATAAAATATTTCCCTAGTAACCGAAAAAACTAAATAATGTGCATTTCGTTTTTGAAATTACATGCTCATGACAATAAATATAATTTGTATTCATATATGTATTTTAATTGATATGTCTCTCTATTTTTTTGTTATGATTATATGCATATAAGAGAATCTCCAAATATAGCATGAACTTTTTTGCTAAGTATAACTGGTTAAATGTATGTAATAATAATAATAATAATAAATAAATAAATAATAAATAAATTCCAGAGTAAATAAAAACAGAAAATGTATTGCTTTGCATATCATCATATTATTATTTTTTTATAACAACAATAACAAGGCTGTTTCCTTTTACAGTTATGCAAAGAATAAATTATTTGTTTTGCATAATGAGTAAAATGAAGGTGAAGGTGAAGGATGGGGGGGGGGGTACAGTGTACAATTTTTTTTTTACAGTGTACAATTTTACACTGTAAATTTTTTTTACAGTGATGATCAATCACTGTAAAAAAAAAAAAAAGCCTACTTTTTCTTTCTTTTTTGTCCAATGACAATTGTATCATCATTACATCACTTCCCAAATATGTAAAATTATATTTAGTTTCCTCTTTATGACTTTTTAAATGCTAGAAATATTTACCAAGCAAAATAAATGAAAAGGCATTTCCTTTAATTACTAACTAACTACTATCACAAATAATAGGCAATTCAATTTAATGATCCGATAACATGTTCATATTCCCCCTATATATACACACAGAGAGAGAAAGAGATCATTGTTTTATATGAAACTTTATAAATTTAGTTATTAATATACAATTTATCAGCTGTTCCAAATCGCTTTAGTTTCAGTTATTGATCTGGCCAGAAATCGTTTGCTGTCGCAAAAACCGTCGTGGGTGTGCTTCGATAAGCTTTGCAAGTATCCATTTCATATCCACAGTTTGTCCCCATCACCACACCAACTGTGCTTTTTAATATTACAACATAGTAAAAATGTTTAGCGTATGTGTTTGAAGGATGATAACTGTCTGTTATGGGTAGTTAAATGACCGTCCGCAGTTACTTTACGGCAAACAAGGGGAGCGTCAGGTTAAACATTCGCCATGCAGTTGTGGCACGAGTTACTGCATACTGAATAAATGAACTATTTGATTGTGTTTTGGGGGTAAAAATGACCGATTGCAAATGTAACTTGTCCGAATGAATGTAAGTCTAGACTGAGTCCTTCTCTGACCTTATTACTAAGTTAAAGCTCTTCAAGGACCAGATTACATTGGCTAACAGTTGCGCAAAGCTATTCCTATAAGCATATCTTTATATGTGTAGTTGAGGTGTACGAACCTCTCAACCTAAAGATGGATAAGGATCCATCAGGATCATCTAGCACTGGCTCCAGGAGTCCAGGAGGCTTCGGTCTGTTCGGATCTGCTGGCCCGCAGTATTCAAACACAGAGCTCGCTGGAGTGCCATGTAAGTCTGCCATAATAACTATTATTAATCCATATTCAGCATCTTACTAAAGGTTGCTTCTCTGAACAGTGACAGGCATGAGTCCAATCTCTCCATACCTTAACGTGGACCCCAAGTATCTCTTACAGGTGAGACCTGGCCATAAGCTGCCTTCGTGTTTACATATGAGATGTAATGTTAATGGTTGGCTGTCATTATCATGTTCCCACAGGATACAGAGGAGTTCATTTTACCCACCGGAGCAAATAAAACAAGAGGACGCTTCGAGCTGGCCTTTTTTACTATAGGAGGATGCTGTATCACAGGTATCTTCATCTCTTCTTCCTCACATGTCAGTTCTTCCGCATGATAATACAGTCTCTTCAATACACTTCTGAGTTCACTAGTCCAAATGCTTCCTTTTTTGTTGTCTGATATAATAAAACATTTTTCATTACAAATTAAATTACCAGAATAAACTGAAAAACATGCCAGAATGTCATTTGCTTTTGATAAGTATTGGTTATTATTTTCGATTCATATTTTTAAAAGGATTTTTATTGACATGCATTACGGTGTTTGTATTGGCATACAGGTGCAGTGTTTGGGGCTGTGAATGGGCTTAGAATGGGCTTGTCTGATACCAGAAACCTGGCTTGGTCCAAACCTCGCAATGTACAGTGAGTACTACTGCAGCAGCACGGCACACATGGAGATGCCAGTCAGTTCAGTTTACAATAAAAAAGTATATGCTTTTAAAGACTGGAATGGCACATAAGGAAAAAAACATGCTTTTTTTAAAATCATAATTATGATTCATCGAAATTAATACGCAAAGTAATACGATGAATTTCTATATGAGTTTTGACGTATCTCATAATTATGATGTTTTATCTCATAACTGATGTGCATCTTTGGACAAAACAATGGCACTGGCGTATTTTAAGACATATCAGTGCAAGTTGATCATAAATATGATGTAAAAAGTCAAAGTCAGCTTTTTATCTCCATAATTATGATTTACTATCAATTTCAACCTTTTGTCTAATGATTATAGTTTAGTATTCATCGTTTTGATTAAGTCAATTATTGGTTAATTATGAGATCAAAGGACAAACTTATGATATAAAAATTCTTCAACTTTTTGTCATAATTTTGACTTTTTATCTCATAATTATGACTTCCTATATCAATTTCGACCTTTTGATAGCTATTTTAGCATTTCATAATTTTGACATTGATCATTTATTAGTTAATAATTAATTATGAGAAAAAAGTTTAGAATTATGAGATACAAAGTCATAATTCAGAGTCTAATTTCTGTCATAATTTTAACATATCTCATGATTATGACATTATCTCACTAATTATGACTTGGTGTCGGTTAATTACGATTTACTATCAGTTTCGTCTCGACCTTGTCCATAATTTAAAATCAATTATTAGGTCAATTAATTTTGAAATAAAAAAAGACAAAATTATGAGATTCGAATTCTTCGACTTTTTGTTATAAATAAAAATATAACTTTTTTTGTCGTATTGACTTTTGATCTCAGAATTATGCATTTTGACCTTTTGTCTCATGGTTAAAAGTCAATTATTAGTTTATAATTATGAATTATAAGATAAAAGGTTGAAATTATGCAAAGTTGTCAGTTTTGACATATCTCATAATTATGATGTTTTATGTCTTAGTTTAATTAGGGCATTTGAGTAGCTTTTATAAACGTGCCTTAGAAAAAAAAAACATTACTGATGTGCATCTTGGGACAAAACATTGGCTCTGGCGTATTTTAATATGCAAGTTGCTTTCAGTTAAAACTGCTCAAACATGCACTTTAGTCTTGGACTAGCTTAGTGTGCAAGTGTGTCATAATTTCACTTTTTTATATAAATATGAATTTTGATTTACTTTCTCATAAAAATTGTTGCATCAAAATATGATTTACTAAAGATTTGTTTTTCTTTCGTGGTGGAAAATGGCTTCCATAGCATTTTAAGACTTTTAACGATAGGTTAAACAGGACATCTGCACAGCATTAATAATTTGCATTACTTGAATTTAATCTATCAACACAATCACCAGCAGAGCGCAGTGTTTCCCACAGTGTTCACTGTGCTGTTCAGAGGAACCCAAATGGCAGAAGTGTATTTCCTGGAAAAGGTTCAAACGAATTGGCAAAGATCCTTTTTGAAATATCCCCAGTCAAATCTTTATGAAACTAGTTGGCGTCAATCTTTTCCCTAGATGTGATTATGACCTTAACAAACTTCCTGTTAAGTTATCAGTGTTTCATCAACAGGTTTTACTTTACAGCATAATGTCAGTCCTCACAACATCCCTTTCTGGAATTGTAGATATGTGGTATTTAGGAATAAATCTTTATTTGACGAAAATTGGTGGGAGAAAGGAATATGGTCTGGGATGCATATATTAGATAATACCGGAGTCATTATGTCTTTTGAGACTTTCTGTTCAAAATGTGATTTATTCGACAGAAAACGGTATGATAACATTATCAAAGCAATCGCACAATCTATAATTCAGATGTCTTCAGCGTATCTCAAAGTAATGAAACCCCTGTGTGTTCCTAAGCCTTTGGTGAATGGAGTTTCTCTCGCTAGCCTAAATCTACCCAATACTACAATTCGGAAAGCCTTTGTGAAGGAATTTTAATAAATAAAAATTCAATCTTTCAATATTTTTCCAGTGTTAAGATTCTAAGAAAAAAATATCTTCAATTTCCAGTTGCACCAAAAGCATCCTTTACTTTTGGTGCAACTGGAAATTTAAGATATTTTGTGAACTTAATGCAGTGAGAACTTTTAAGATGTCGATTTGGTCTTGATGTTAACAGTTTCTCTTTTGGTGTTGATCAGATTGAAACCACAGAACATATGTTTTATGATATAAATGTGCTTGTGCCTTTTGGGAGGATTTGCATTACTGTTATTTCCCAAATTTGAAGATTTACCTGTATTAACAACGGAAAATGTAATATTTGGTATGTTCATGAAAGATGAAATGCGTGACTTGGCAGTTAACACATTTATAATTCTTGGGAAATTATTTTTCCTGAAAACACTTCCACACGTTTACGTTTTTCATAAGGAACTGTGTCATTAGTTCTTATCGTTAAACAAATGAAGGAAAAGAATGCCTTAACCTGATCTACTTTAATAGAGGGTGTTAAACTTGCTGAAACCCCTAGTCTTTTATTTATTTATTTACTTGAATATTTGTGAATTTATATTTTCGGTCCCACTTTATATTAAGTGGCTTTAAGTACTATGTACTTACATTGAAATGAATAATTTGATACAATGGACTTATTGAGTACATACCTGGTTTTACATACCAGCAAAAAAATACCAGCATGTAATTACAGCTGTAATAAATTTATGTAATTACATTTGTAATTACACAGTTGACCCTTCCCTTACACCTTAACCCACCCTTAAACCCTTTAACCGACCCATACCAGCACACCTGTCCCTAACCTTACCCATATCACACCTCAATAGCAGCAAAAGTGTTTTACAATACAACATGAACACAATAAGTACATTGAACTTATTTTTCGATGGTACTTAAAGCCACTTAATATAAAGTGGGACCATATTTTCTTTATCTTATGCTACGATGCTTGTCTGTTGTCTGATTAAGACATGATATCTTTTGTACCAGGCCATGTATGGCTGTTTAAGTGCTTGAAAAAGGATTCCCTGGTAAAGGTGCGGTCAGGTGACATGCAGTAGTCACGACACGTGCACTTTTCCTTTGAATTATTAAACTTGTGCGGGCAGTTGGGGAGATTCATAGACACGCTGGTTATGATGTCACATGATGGAAAAGAAAAACAAACCAATAGCAATAAACCCTAGAGAAATCTTCTGATTTATAAAAACCTTTCTTCTATAGAAAATCCCAACTGAAAAAATGAAGACGCCCGATTGAGACGCACATTTAACTCTGATATTACAACAGTTGGTTCCCCTTCTGTGTGTACACTACCAGTCAAAGGTTTTTGATCAGTAATATTTTTAATGTTTTAAAAAGAAGTCTTTTTTGCTCACAAAGGCTGCATTTATTTGATTAAAAATAAAAAATAAAAACAGAAATATTATTAAAATTTTAAACGGCTGTTTTCTATGTGAATATATATAGTAAACTGTAATGTATTCCTGTGATCAAAGCTGAATTTTCAGCATTATTACTCCAGTCTTCAGTGTCACATGATCCTTCAGAAATCACTCTAATATGATGATTTGCAGCTCAAGAAACATTTCTGATTATCAATATTATCAATGTTGAAAACAGTTCTTTACATGTTTATTTCAGGATTCTTTGATGAATAGAAAGTTCAAAAGAACAGCATTTATCTGAAATATAAAAGCTTTTGTAACATTAAACACCACCGTTCAAAAGTTTGGTGTCAGTAAGAATTTTTATTATATGTTTTGGGGGAAAGAAATAAAAGAAATCAATACTGTAACTTTTGATCAGTTAAAGTAAAGACATTTATAATGTTACAAAAGGTTCTGTTTAAAAAAAATGCTGTTCTTTTGAACTTTCTATTCATCAAAGAATCCTGAAACGAAATTATACACAACTGTTTTCAACATTGATAATGAATGTTTCTTGAGCATCAGATCATCATATTAGAGTGATTTCTGAAGGATCATGTGACACTGAAGACTGGAGTAATGATGCTGAAAATACAGCTTTGATCACAGGAATAAAATACATTTTAAAATATATTAAAATAGTAATATTGTTAAATATTATGACTGTTCTTTTATCAAATAAATGCAGCCTTGGTGAGCAGAAGAGACTTTTTTTTCAAACATTATAAATCTTACTGATCCAAACCTTTTGACTGGTAGTGTATATTTGTGTTTATGCCGCTATATTATCGGGCCTGGATGAATCATTTCAATGTAAAAATATTTTTCTCTCAAAGTACTAAATGCAATCATATAGTGATGCGCTGCTCGACATTGACTTTTTTTTTCTTTTATACGTTATCAATAACGCCGGCTAGACAGCTGTTTTAAATCAATGTGTACTGTGTACACAGCTGTGCGACCCAAAGCATCATGTGGTCGGCGCTGGTCACATGATATGCTCAAAGTCTGCCGCTCGTCTGCTGTTACGTGCAGGACTTCACAAGTTACTGATTCATGTGTAATGATGGACCAAAAACATGCATGTGTTTATTTGTAGAGAGAAAACCTATAGAAAGAACAGCCTTTTTGTTAATATGTGTCCTTTTTAATATATTGTGCATAAAACATTTGAACTTCTGTATATGGCATGATGTTTTAGAACCAAAGTCATTAGTGATTTGGATCAGTTGTGACTTTTCTTTTAAACTCTTCATCTCTATCCTTCTCTCCGAATCAGAATCCTGAATATGGTGACCCGCCAAGGCGCCACATGGGCGAACACTTTGGGTTCAGTAGGTGAGTGACCCAGTTTCAGCCTCCGTCACCCTCAGAACCTCTGTAGTCGACTCATTTCAAACAGAAATAACTTCTATTTTCACTTAGAAGTCATATATTAATGCTGTGTTGCATGCATGATATGTATATATATATATATATATATGTATGTGTTTAGCTCTGCTGTACAGTGCATTTGGGGTGATCATAGAGAAAGCCAGAGGGGCGGAGGACGACCTCAACACCATTGTTGCGGGGACCATGACTGGTGTCCTCTATAAATCTCCAGGTAGATCATCAATAATATGTTTATCACATTATGGCTTTTCTCCTGGGTTATCGTCATTCTAAACTCCGACTTTAACCCCGGGTTAAAGGAACGTCTCACACTTGTGATCTGGATTAAACGTGTCTATTGGAGTGAAGAAGAGTCCATTCAGGATAAACTTGATAGTACATTTGCCGGCAATATATAATATGAGGATGTCCAATGTTAGAGCCTTTATAGGACTTTTCATACTTGATATACACTGCCCGGCCTAAAAAAAAAGAGTTGCTGTTCGGATTTAAATATGTAAATTCACTGAAAGTGTTTTGGATGTGCTGGAGGAGGCTTTACAGACTCTTGCATTGACAATACAAGATCCTGAGCAAACATTGATGCACCTCTTGATGGAAATAAAGGTTGTGATGTCATTTTCATCAAGAGGTGCATACATTTTTGCTCAGGATCTTGTATTGTCAATGCAAGAGTCTGTAAAGCCTCCTCCAGCACATCCCAAACACTTTCAGTGAATTTAACGTCTGGACTCAGAGGAGAAAATGATTCTTCATGCTCCTCACAACCATTCTTACACAGTTTAAACCTGATGAATCTTGACATTGTCATCCTGGAATATGGCCATGATTTGTCTTCACACATGGTTGTTTAAGAAATGAAAAACTACACACTCCATCCATTAGGGTTAGAAGAACTGTTGCCAAAAATATAACATGCTAGAAACATAATAATCACTGCAATAATGATTCAACCAAAGACTCATAAGCAATTGCGCTTTTTTTTTTTTTTTTTTTTTTTGGCCAGGTAATGTAGTTAACCCTGGGTCATTCTAAACCCTGGGTAAATGGAATCCTGGGTTATCTTGCTTCACGTGTCACACTGCTCATATATAGCCCAGGTTAACAGTCAATCCTGGGTAATCACACGCAGATGTTTCACTCTGTACATTCCTTAACCCTGGGTTAACGTCCTTATTTGTGTCGTCAGTATCGTTGATTGGATGAACACCGGGCGCTATAGTATGATTACATAAAGGCTCTAGCATTGCACATCCTCTTCATATTATATATTGTGAAATGCAGGGTGAAAAGCCTTTATGTAACAAACATTAACCCAGCGTTTAAGAATGTACAGTGTGAAACGGTAGCTTATGAATACCCAGGGTTCACTGTTAAATTATGAGCAGGATAACCCAGGGTTTAGAATGACCCAGGGTTAGTTCAAGTGCAAAAAACCCTATAGTCAGTGTTGGGAAAGTTCATTTTCTACATGAACTAGTTCAAAGTTCAGTTCACAAATTTTAAAATAAACTAGTTCAGTTCATACTTCATACTTCAAAAAATGAACTAGTTCATAGTTTTTTTTTTTTTTTTTCATATGTCGCTGCGAGGTTTTTTTTATTTTATTTATTATTGCCACAGCCCATATACAACCACAGACAGAAATTATTTTATCGACGGGCAAATTTTGCACAGAAATGTCAGATTTTTCCCATCCTCACCGACCTTGTCATAAAACTCGTTTAAATTATCATACGACGCTTTGTCGACTACATGCTGCTTCTTGTCTTGATGACGCACGCGGCGGCCGCGGTGCGACGCTGGTGGCTGGTGTTGCCAGATTGGGTGTTTTTTTCGCTACATATTAAGGCCTGTTTACGCGTGTTTTAGCCGGGTTTTCGCCTGGAAGGCTCTATAGAAATCTGGCACCCTATTGAACGAAGTTAAACTGAGAGAGCGTGCGTTCACAGACACCAGAATGAACGCGTTCACAGTAACGTTCATCAGGCAGTAATTCAGTACGTTCAGTTCACGTTCGCCCAAAATATGAAAGAGTTCATGAACTATCGTTCATTGAACGCGTTCAGGCACAACACTGCCTATAGTGTTGTCTTAAAGAAGCAGAAAAGAAACCCTTTTGTCAGCGGACTGAAGAGGAAGGCACCGTAATGTTGTGTACTTCCTTTTCTGTGGAAGAGTTATTTGAGGAGAAAAGGGACATTTTTCTGATGACAACAAAGTCATTGTACGCTAGAATCTGTTACAGAAAACTGTCATTACTCATTAATACTGTACATTATTGTACATAAAACTCATTAATAACAGTAACAGACATCACTGCATTATATAATCACAGTAATCACATTATATATAACAGATTAGCTGATGTAAACTCACAGAGTTTGAAGTTTTGATTAATATATTTTCAAATGCACCGCCCCCAAAACTATTTGGACACTTAAAACATTAAGGATTTTACTCGACAGTGTAGTTTCATGTTTATGAATATGAATATGTGGTAACTGTGGTACAACTCTCTTTCAGTGGCCTTTATTGGTTTTGGAAGTATCTTCTCTCCTAGGATTTATTTTATTTAAGAGGACAATAGGGAGAACAGACAGAAAGCGAAGTGGGAGACAGAGGGGGAACGGGACGAAAAATATATAATTCAGAAAAAAAGTCAGGTTCGTGTTTTTTAGCATCTTTGATGAGAGAATGAACTACAAAACCATAATAAAGCATTGAGAATGACATATTTATAAACACTGCCGAATATGTGAATATTGCTTGTATATAAATAATAATAAATTCATGATTTGTAGAACTGAACTATAAACACAACAATTGTAAAATGTGTTGCAAAATATTAATGCAAATACACTATTTCTAAAAATTGGTTTTTAGAGGAATCATCAAGGATACATAAAATTCATCAAAAGTGACAGTAAAGACATTTATAATGTAAGATTTCTATTTCAAATAAATGCTGTTCATTTGAACTTTCTATTCATCAAATACACGAAAAACATATTAAGCAGGACAACTGTTTTCAACATAATAATATAATAATAATGATCATGTGACACTGAAGAGTGGAGTAATGATGCTGAAAATTCAGCGTTGATAAATTACATGTATAAATTACAGGAATAAATGACATTTTAAAACATATTGAACTGGAAAACTCTTCTTTAGGTCATCGAAAGCCATTCGGTGGTTATAAACACAAAATGTCATTGTTTCTACAAGGAAGTACCCTGACGAATTACCCTTCAGGTGTTTTCCTAAAGCTGCGACTGGGAATATTCTGTATTTAGAAGAGAAGATTTGTTGTAAGGACAATAGAGGGAAAATCCCCGCACACAAAATAATTTCCCATCATGCTTTGCTGCAGAGTTCTGGGTATTGAGTTGATGCGGCACATTTCCTACTCGGCTGAAAGGCCGGCTTTAGTGTCAGATAAGAGTTTGGCCATGAATGCAGTTTGTGTTCAGTGTGTCCCAAGCCTTTCAGTCCGTCACAACTTTTGTTGTCAGCATAGTCATGTGTCACACAGGATATATTCAAACATATTTACTTTTTAATTGCACAGGAAGTGTTGATTGATCATAATGGTGCTGTAAAATCATTTAGTTACAGTATTTTTTTACTGCCATGTGTTGTTCTGCATATCTGTTACCTGTGGCAGTTGTGTTATATCGTCCACTAGTTCACTCCGCAGTTATCAAGCCTCGACTCATGGAGGGTGTGGAGTCCTCACACACACTCCTCAAAGCTTTATCGCTCTTCTCCATGTCCTCCAATGATGAAGCTCAATGACTTGATCTGGCCGTATTGTGTGCTTTCGTTTTGAGCCAAAAAATGTTGTTTATAATTTAGGTTTGCTGTGATGATGCCTAGAATGAAATAAATGAGTCGTTACACTCATAGTTTCGGCCCTTGTGAATTCAAACAACGGCCCTGCCTCTAGTATATCCATCGTATATAGCCGTTTAATATGAATATGCTAAACTATTTGTAATGTTTGGATGCTAGTAGGTGAGAAGACTTTGAGGAAGCTGCTTGAAAAAACATCCACCGTTATTATGCAATTTAGTGAACTTACAGAGGAGAAGTGGAGCAAGTCCATCTAGAGATGCGTTTAGATTAAGAACTGCTGATTCTTGTCTTTCAGTTGTGTGTGTGTGTGTGTGTGTGTGTTGTGTTGCAGGAGGTTTGCGGGGGGCAGCGCGGGGTGGGCTGGTTGGGCTGACTCTTTCTGGACTCTACGCTCTCTACAGTAACTGGGACCGTCTGAAGGGGAGCTCTCCTACCCGCTACTAAGGCTTCTGTTAAGATACTCTATAAATCAGTCATCGATTGCTTTGCAAATGCAATGTCCATCAACTATCCAGCTAAGGCCCTGTCCCAAATGGCGCACTTCATGCGGACTTTCGGTCTCGTGGACTTAAATTGCGCGTGCTCGCAAGTCTACGAGTCCGTCCCATTTAGCATTTGAACGCTCTGAAGTGTGCTCAGCAGCGCCCCCTGTGTACCCTTGAAGCGGTCTTCCGCGAAGCCCACATAGATGCAGGCTCCACGCACTTTAACTACCCAGGAATCCTTGCGAAAGGCCAATCAGACGACGGATGGGAGGAGATTTCGCTCACGGACAATTGTTAACATGGCTGAGAAGAAAATATTTAAGTGTAATTATCATTACGGTTTTTATGACAAGTTTATACAAACATTATGATCATCGACCAGTGTAGTGTTGTTTTTGGCGGCCTGGTTTTAATTTTAGTTTTAGTCTAGTCTTTGTGTCAAGCTGTCATTTTAGTTTTTATTAGTTTTAGTCACGTTCATACTCTTTTTAGTCTAGTCTAGTTTTAGTCGACGAAAGACATAGTCTAGTTTTAGTCAATGCAAATTGTATTTTAGTCTCTTTTTAGTAATGCAATTCTATTTAACCCAGTCAATAAGTATATCGTCTCATTATATTGTTACCTTACAGACTCAAGAATACAGCCATTCCAGACACGGAAGACGCTCTGATTTGAATTTACAACATATTTATTTTACCAACCAAACATGTTAGAAGTAGCCTAAACACACAACGTGAAATGAAAGTTTTTCCAAATGTCATTTCTTCTTTTTCTCCCAAAGACGAATCCCTTTCTCTGTGTCAGACTTAACTTTGTTTGTTGTCGTTTATGCTAACGCCTGTTTCACACATACTCCGTTTGCAGTGCGTATGTGGTGGGTATTTTTTCCCGCACCCATGTTAGAGCGCTCACACCGCACGCAATGCGCTCCAGGAGCTCCTGTCCATAACAACAATCAGACCGTCTTCCTGTTTCCGGCGTGACGATCAAGTCTGTCCCAAAAACACCTCTCAATGCGCCCTCGCGGACTCGCGCTAAGGGCCCTATAGGTCTGCACTACATGACGTCACCGAGGTGTGGACTCTGAGGAAGTCCACAAGTCCGGAGTGTGCCATTTGGGACAGGGCCTAAGATGGTTACACACTTGGAGGCTTCAAATTCATGACAATCTCCTAAAATTTCATAATTTATGATTTGAGGAATGTTTGCAACTAGTTGTTAAAAATAAATGATTTAGACACTATTTAATTGTTTAATGAAGCAAAAGCTAAACTTAACTATTTGACAGAGAGTGTGTGTGTATAAATATATATAATGGCTGAAAAACCAAATAGTGAAATTTGTTTGCAATACATTCAGCAGTCTAACATTGGACCAACTGTTACTCATTTTTCAAAACAGATGACAATGTTGAGAACAAAATTAAACTTTGCACTAGAACTGGATAATGAGTGTTTACTAAAAATCTGTAACACCTGGTAATTTATGATTGTATGTTATTACCTGAAGTGATATTTGGGCACATTGCCATATTCCATTAGCACTGTTAACGGACACTAGAATGTATACGTGTAACTAAGTAAATGTAAATGTCGCTAAAAGACTTTACGTTTGTGTGTTTGGCACAGACGAGTGTTTCGCTGAACTGTAGAGATGTTGTTGAAAAGAGGTTTGTTTGGCCTCAGACGATATTCTTGACATTAAAGAATTGCATTCACAACTCTCTCGATTCTTATGAGGAAGATTTAGTTTCTTTTCTGACCTGGAATTTTCTGTGTCAGGAAATGGAAACATGAAATGAGTCACGTTACAACAGGAAACGTTTGTCTTTTTATTTATTCAGTTGACAGAGATCAAAGCATAAGAGATTATGCAAGCAATTTTTAGATTAACCTACATACAAGTGTACATGAGTAATTCTGTAGCCCAAACACTGGCACATGCTGACAACGATTTTAGCATTGTTAATGTTTATGTACCAAGTCTTTGGTCCATTACTGAATGAGAGATTGGTACATCAACTTTTCATTTTTGCATCAGCTTTAAATTCACCGGCAGTCTTTGCTCTGTATGTGCAAAGTATAATTCTTGCTTTACATGTTGTTTCACAGCATAGACGAAGCATTATCAGTGGTTAATTTATGATAGATTCAATTTAAAAAGAGCTATAGTTATAGTATGGTAAATATTTACCACAGGTTGAGCTTAAAGACCACAGAACAAACGCTGGCGGCTGCAGCGCATGACACCAGAAACGGCAAACTACAATGAGATGGACAGCAATGCTACACATTCGATGTCAGGCACAAGTTGAGGTTACAACAACGGAAATTTTGCTATGTTTAGCTGGCATACGAGTTGTGTATGCAACAGAGGTGTATAATATAATCATTGAGAAAATAGTAAAATTCTATATAAATATATATTCAAAGAAGTGATGAAGGAAATCCTTCTCAGCTTTTAGAGCATGTTTTGCTCCAAATGTGCTGAGATTTAAAACATGAATTAAAAAAAAGCTGTAACTGAATGATTAAAATTAATATAGATTTATTTTGTACTTGAGCTCTTCACAAGACCCCCCTTCCTCCCCACTATGCCCTAATGAAAAAAATGAAAAAAAAAAAGTATTTGTTTGTATGCACCATCTGGTCCATTTCCTCGTGATCTTTAAATCACATTACTGATTTATAATAAACACATTGGTCTCAACTAGATCACTGGAATTTACCTGTATTAAGCCAATTAAAAAAAAGGCAAAAATACAGTAATTCCCCAGCATAAACACTCCCTCAAGTGATGGTGTACCAAAATCTTTCAGTCTCTAGAAGATGAGAGAGAGAGCGAATCCCTAAAGAGAACGGAAGAAAAATATTGTGCAATAATCAGCGGTTAAATGGTGCTAGAGTAAATCTCAAAAAGCCACTGGATGTTGCCTTCAAATCTGAAAAAGAGAAAAGAAAATGGTTTTACTTCCTCTAAAAAGCTTTACTTAAAAAAAAAAAAAAAAAAAAAAAGTGTTCATATTTACATCATCGCTTCTCACCTGTGTAGCGGTGTGCTGAAGCCACTTTTCTTTGTCCCCACTGAGCTTCATACAGGAAAACAGGTCACATACTGTGGGTAGGCCAAGCCTTTCCTAGACAAAACACAGGAAAACATGGTAAGGAACGATTGAAGGCATGTATATCACCAAATTTTAAGTTCTGATTTTAGAGAGACATTCTCAAAGCCTGATAGTATGGATGGAAATTGCAAGATGGTTCTTTAAAGGGATAGTTGAAGCAAAAATTAAAATTCATTCATCAATTCATGTTGTTCCAAACCTGTAATACCTTCGTTCATCTTTAAAGCAAAAATAAAGATATTTTTAATGCAACCCGAGTGATTTCTGTTCCTTCATTGAAAGCTTATTCCACCAAAACTTTGACTCTTCAAAGAGTTTATAGACAGTAATCCAATCGCACGTCAAGCAACTGCGTTGAGCTTTCAACTACTGTGCACTTTTTGTATGCGTTAATGCTTATGTGCGAATCAAATCCTAAATTAAATCTGTGATCGTGTCTCTTCAGAAGTCTTGATTCTACTCGATTCATATGGACTACTTTTACAATTTCTTTATGAACTTCTTGACGCATCAAAGTTTTGATTGCGTAGACTTTCAGAAATCTCTCGGTTTCATTAAAAATCTGTTCATTTGCGTTTCGAGGATTAACAAGTCTAATGGTTTTAGAATGAAATGAGGGTGAGAAAATGATTTCAATTTTTGCGTGAACTATCCCTTTAATAAGTTTGTGTTATACTTTTTGTTTGTGTGTTATCACTGTAAAGCTGCTTTAAAACTATGGGTCTCATTCATGAAACATTCGTAAATATACGAGTAAATATGAGAGTGATTTGCGCGTAAAGAGACCTTCCCGAAAACTCTTCTCCTGATTCACAAATACTTCGTAAACGTCAGATGTGATAGCGAAATGTGTGTGTGTGTTAATGAATTCCAATCAATTGTAAATGGGACGCGGGTGCACGCTCATTCAATTACCATAAATCCCGCCCATATATCCGACTGACAACTATAAATGGGCATCATATTATGACACCAAACGGAGGATTTCAACATGGCTTCTCAAAAGCGAATGATAAAGAAAAATTTCTCAGATGCAGAAATCGAAGTTTTATTATCAGAAGTTCATTCATAACACCACATTTTATTTTCAAGCGTAGGCTACAGTGGCGTATCAGGTCCTAAAAAAAAATAGGACCAGCATATTACAGATGCAGTTAATCAAAGTAAAAAGAAAAACCGTATGCAATTACTATATATAATATTTTTTCAAAATGCTGTGTAAATATGTGCCCGATTAAGGTGAATTAAAATGCAGCCTTAGTTATTAATGAGCAAAACATTCGGATGTTAAACTCACTATTTACGCGTGGCTGGGAGCAGGTGTAGATTTCTTTCGTACCAACTAACATTTGGAAAATACGAACATTTTAATGAATCCGAAAATTTAAGCCAGAATCACTTTACACACGATTTACACAAATTCGTTCTGCTCGTGTTTCATGAATGAGACCCAATGTGTATGAAAAAGCGCCATATAAAGATATCAGCCTCACCTGTGCACTGGCCCGCTTTCGTAGAAGCCATTTATCCTCCTCGAGGTCTTTTGTGTTCTCGCTCTCTGGCTTGTTTGGCGTCTCAGTGGTACAGCTAATGGACTTCATCGCTGGCAGAAGCCAGTTCTCCGACTGCAAAGGCTTCTGGACGAAGCTCTCAGGGTCTGAGGATTTGATGTGCGGGGTCACCCAGGCAGAGAGGGACGACAGGGCCGGGGATTTGGGACTGTTGCTCGGGTGCAGCCAGGCCTCTAGGATGGCCTGAACTTTCTGCTCCTGCTCCTGCTGGTGGCTGGCGGCTTTGTTTGAGGCGTTCTTACTGACGGGAACCCCGTTCTTATCCCGACCCTCTTTCTTGAGGAGCCAAGCGCTAAGAGCCTCTTTTCCACAGTTTTCATCACAGACACATTGAGCGTAGCTGGCACAGGTTTCATTGGCTTTGCAGGTGGTCTCGAGAGGGATGGTCTTGTGAAGCCACATCTCGATGGGATCGGGGTTGGGAGTGCTGGCAGCGGATGAAGGCGGAGTCTTTAGGCACTTGAGCTTTCCGAGGTTCTCGATTTCCACGGCTGTGGTGCGTGTGGGACAGCACGAGCCGCAGTCAGACTTTGGTAGCCAATCGCTGTAGGAGAAGCTCTCGTAGAAGGGCTTGATGATCAGATTGAAGCGGTCAGCATCTGATACTTGGCTGGTCTTCTCTTGCTTGATTGGGCTCGGACTGGCAAGCCAATTGCTGAGTTCTTCCTCCTCAAAGGTGTCGTCCACTTTTTCCTGCTGGTCTTCCAGTTCCACCTCGTCCAGATTTAAGTCGCTTTCCTCAATCATCTCGATCGAGAAGGTTGAGCTGCCGCTGCTGGTTCTCTCACGAATAGGCAATGTCTCCTTTATCAGCCACGACTCCAGGTCATGAAGCTGACCCCAAGCTTTTTGGAAGTCAAAGGCAGGTAGTTGTTGCTCTTCCTGTATGGTGGAAATAAATTTAAAAAATCCTCAGTGTGCAATTTCCTAAACGTCCATTTGACAGAAGCAGCAGAAGTGGCTTGTCACCTGTTTTTAAAATCTAAGCCATGAAAAAATAAAGGCTTTTTATTAGGGATGTCCCGATCCGATCACGCGATCGGAAATCGGGCCCGATCACGTGGTTTCAGACTCGATCGGAATCGGACGTTACCTCCCGATCAGGACTCGGATATATGTAAATTAGGGGTGTAACGGTACATGTATTCGTAATTATTGAACCGTTTCGGTTCGAGGCTTCCGGTTCGGTACGTATACAAACCGAACGATTCCTAGGACCATTTTTCCTGCAGACAAAATCCGCGCTGGCGCGATCACCACAACGTTGCGCAACATCAAATGGCAAACGTAATGAAAGCGGAACGAAACTGCGCTTCTCATTATATTGTGCTTCACGGAACATTTATCAGTTCGGACCAGCAACATCTGTGCAGCGCGAGATCAAGCTAAGAGATCCAGTGAAGAAAACATTTGAATTCGCCACTGAAGTAATAACATCGCTGCGAGATCTAGTGAGAAGCATTCACATTTCTCCGTTATTAACCGTAGATCTCTATTAGATCAAACAGCGCTGACGTGGACACCAGGAGAAATATTGTGCCGTGAATGAACATGGATTTAATGTTGCACTTCAAAACTCAAATATTATATAAATATATATTTAAATGTTATTTTTAATGTGATTACCAAAACATTATTTGTTCATCCTTCAAAGATTATAAACCTGAAAGTTTCAAGATGTAGGAAAACTCAAACTTATTTAAAAATAGTTTTTCTTTTAATAAATAGGAAATTTCTCTGGCATTTCTTTCTTTTTGCTGTATCGTATCGAACCGCAAATTTTGTGAATTGTTACACCCCTAATGTATATATATATATATATATATATATATATATTCTCATTATTTTTTTATACACTTTTAAAACATTTTTATTTTTTGTTTACATGCCTGCCGGGTATTTTAAGTTGAGGTGCTTTTTGTTTTTATATTAGACTTTTTCTATATTTACTGTTGCACTAAAGTCCAAAAGTGAAGATTTTATGTTATTTGTTACCTGATTGTTCAAGCTACCTCACAGAAGTGCTCTGTTTGTTAACAGAGTTGTTGAATGTTAAAATATGGTGAATTAAATAAAAAATAAGGAACATCCTGGATCTGTTTTTTCTCTCTTCTTTATTCTTTTTTTATGTATTATATAAGTATCGGATCGGGACTCGGTATCGGTAGATACTCAAAATCAAATGACTCGGACTCGAGGGCAAAAAAACCTGATCGGGACATCCCTACTTTTTATATATATATATATATATATATATATATATATATATATATATATATATATATATATATATATATATATATATATATATATTTAAACCAATTAATTGTCTTGGATTGTTTTTCTTTGGACAGAAGTAGCACTTTAGCTACAGTCAAATAAATAATTCAGCGGTTCTTAACAAGTCGGTCACAAGTCTCAGCTTACCTGAGACTCCTTGGAAACAAGCAGCCAGTCCTGCGGGTTTGAGCTAAAGTGGTCTCTTACAGGAGCGCTGCTCACTGCACGGTTCCCTAGAAGCCACTCAGCCAGAGGTGTGGCCCGTTCAGGATCTACTTTCTAAGTAAACAAGATGGGTATTTAACATTGTATGCACATATGAGCAGAAAGTTAGATTAAACAAGTATAATATCAAAAACAAACCTGTTTCTTGAAAGAAACTGGGCAGTCCTGAAGAAGCCACGGTCTCTCAAAAGAGCATGAGGTCTCCATTTGCTGCAGCAGAGAAGAGTTATGAATGCAGGTGCTTTGTGGAAGGGCACACACGTATTTATAGCAATGCTATGAGCACATAGTATTTTGACACTATTTACACTGTGGTCCTGTCAACAGTAAGTGAACTTTCAATCATATGTTAATAACGGGACCATATGTTCTATTAGAAAATGTTCACTCGAGTCTCACATCGTAGAAGCTTTAGGCTGTCTACACTGAACTGTATTAAAATAATAATATGTGTAGATAATAGGGGTGTAACGATACACGTATTCGTATTGAACCGTTCGGTACGAGGCTTTCGGTTCGGTTTTCGGTACGCATTTTTGAACCGAACGGTTCGTTGGGCCATTTTTCCTGCCGACCAAAATTTCGTTATTTCAAATGAAGGCGCGTCACGCGTGGCAAGCGCGCTCATAATGTGCGTGACCACAACATTGCCCAACATCAAATGGCAAATGTAATGTAAGCGGAACGAAACCACTCGTTATTGTGTGGTTGAAGGACCGTTTATCAGTTTGGACAAATACAGCGCGAGCCGATCTTAATCATCAGCACTGTTACTACACAGCCAAATCCAGTAAAGAAAGCATTTGAATTCGCCACTGAAGTAATAACATCGCTGCAAGATCTAGTGAGAAACATTCGCATTTCTCCGTTATTAACGGATCAAACAGCGCTGACGTGGAAACCAGGAAGAAACATTGTGCCATGAATGAACTATCCAGTGTCCACAGATCAGCAACATTCACCATGGGTTTACTGTAGTAACACTACTAACTGTAACCATGGAAGTTTGGCAGGAATAGTAGGCTATAATGCTTTCAAGTAACATTACATCGGTTTTATTTTGACATTATGAATACAATTGCTGCCCTCAAATGTTAATCTGAACTAAAATAAACCTTTGTTTATAACTACTACAATATTACATTTAATTGTGTCCAAGGAGCTGTTTTGTTTTATAAGCTCCTAAGAAAAGTCAAGTATAGCTCCATCATTGCTCAAAGTTAAAAAATATCATACTTTATGATGTTAGTTTTAATAAAAATATAATTAAAAAGATTAAATCAAGGAAATTTCTCTGGCATTTCTTTCTTTTTGCTGTATCGGAAACGTACCGAATCGTACCGAACCGAACCGTGACACAAGTGTATCGTATCGAACCGAACCGTGAATTTTGTGAACCGTTACACCCCTAGTAGATAAGTAGTTCTGTTTATCACCAAGTTTTATTGGTGCATATTAATGAAAGTGATTAAACATCATGCTTCATGTTTTCGTCTATTGAAAAAAGTGATATTGCTGTTCTGAATTTCTTGCCATTTGTATCAACCACAAGCCTTGGTGTCCAAAATGTGCATATCAGCAAGTCCACAAACCTGGGTGGCGATGGTCCCAAAGGATGTGATAGCTTGGCGCAAGGTGCGTGCATCTGCTTGGAAACTCATCTCTGGGGTTTCTTCAGGAGTCAGATTGAGCGAAGATAACCTGAAACGACAAAAGATGAGCCACATTTATCATCTACTTAGGCATTCCTCAGAGATTCACATTGATTGTGGGAGATTCAATCCACTACAGTGTCTTTGTTGACTAGCTTGAGTTCATTGCCATATCAGCATCACCGGCTATTACATGGCAGATACATATTAAACATGTAACAACACCATAATATTATAAGTATAACATAATTAAAACCAACTTATACAAACAAAAACAATAAAATAAATCTATTAAATAGTCTAGCTTGACGTGTAAACAGCATTTCATCACACTATAGCAGATTTACAACGATCGGTGTCTTACTTCTCCAAGCAGTTGGTGAGCTGGGTAGCAAGATTGTTACTACTGGAATACTCCAGCTGATGAATGAGGATGTCAAACTGGCCTTTGAGCTGTGAGAAACCATGAGAGAACAAATGTCATTTCAGCTTTAAAGTAACTCAACTAGAGCAGAACAGCTTAATTTCTCCTTTTTTAGATTAGAGTTTCAGTATCCAGAGTCAATATTTAGATTTAATTTCTCAGAAATTTCTCAATTGCTTCATAATACAGATCTAAAAAAACTACCTTTGCTTCAGTACCAAGTCAATACTAAAATAAAAAAATAACGAAACTAAACCAGACTGACAGATGGCTGTCTGCACAAATGATTAGAGCTGGGTTTCGATTCAAATTTCAAGAATCGATTCGATTCCGATTCTCAAGATCTTGAATCGATTATCATTATTCGATTCGATCCGATCTGATCCGATTTAGATAAGTGTTTTTGTTTTTTCCAGCTGTTGACTGTAGTTATGCAACATATTGATACTATTAGGCTATTATAGACATTTAACTGCTTGTTTTGAACTTCATGCATGTGTATTGAATGTTAAACAAGTTCATAATGATAACAAACAAGACTGTTTATCGTGGTGATGTGTAGCCTACAGAGGCTTCGCACAGACAGTGAATGAGAGAGATCGGCAGAGCGCGTGCGGATTACCTGCGTCTGTCTTTGAAGTCATATGGATTCGTGAAAAAGGTTGCCGTGTCAAAGGAAAGCGAAATATTTGTCGTATCATCCTTTTAACGTTCACGTCACGGGTATTTACTATAAATGCGCGTCAGCAGCAGCGCTGGTCAGCATTCCACAGCGCGAGGAAGCCGCGGGGAAATAAAATCAGCGAGTCACGCATTGAATCAATGCCATATTGGTCTCTAATAAGTGAAGCATCACCTTTAGCGTTACCCACGCGACGCATTGCTGCTCAGCTGAGCCTTGAAAAGTGGAACTCAAAGTTAAAAATAATTAACACCTTGTTACAACTCTTTTAATGAATCAGCTTTTTTGAACGTGTTCGTTGAATGAACGAATGACTCACTCAAAGCCCGTTGTTGTAACAGTGTGCGCGCTGAGTGAAAGCCTTTCAATGCGCATACAGGGATCTCCCAGTCGCGGCAAGTTAAAGTTCACGGGGAAAATGTAAGCCTATTATTAAATCGATCCTCTGAGTTACGGATCGATCTTTAGAAATTAATATGAAAATCGATTCAGAATTGGTGAATCGATTTTTTCAACACAGCCCTACAAATGATCAAACTATACATGTAAAACTCACCAAATGAAGCTGCTGTAGCTGCTGATGTAAAGTTTCTCCTTTGAGCTGCTCCACCAGATCGATCTGCTCCAGCAGCCAGACCTCTCGAGAGCGCAGGATCTCCAGATGTCTGCTGATACAGCTGTGCAGCTGAGACTTCACCTGGGAGTAACCAGACACGTGTGTGAATGCAAGCGGGTGCGAGTCTTGACGTGTCTGCCTTTGAAAGTGCTCAGATACAGAGCAGCTTTTAAAACTCCTGTTGAGGTGGATAAAACGACCCCACCTCCTAAACGCCTGCAATGATCCGAGGTCTACAATAATGCAAACAAGTTCCTTATTCACTCGAAACAGAGACACGGTATTATATTATACTCTGAACCGTGCAGCTGTTTTGAGAGATTATGGGCAAGCCCAATGAGGTTTCTCAACAGAGCTTAGGTGAATGAGCGTAAATCCTACAAACTATTTTTGAGACAATTTCTCAACTGTTAATACTTCTGAATTGGTTTAGCTGTGGTCTAGTAAGCCCTTCTCCTTTTAGACTACCTGCATCGAAATAGTAATTATTAACTCTGTCTGAGGTGACTAATTATTATGTCATATGCATGGATGTTTTCTTAAGTTTACAAGAAAATAATAGCTTATTGTGCACTGAGCTTAAAGCACATTATAAAGCCACAATGTTCAGAAAAGTCCGTGTTCACACCCACTCCTGGGACACTGAGCCTTTAATAACACAAGCATGATTTAAGTGTATAAATAAAAGATTCAAAATAAGTACTTTATCTGTTTTTATACATGACACTATAAACACACAGGGGTAAAGCGCGGGTGTTTCTCACCTCTCTGGAGTTGCTCTTGAGCTGAACGTCAGCTTTGATGACCCCAGTGATGGCCTCCTCCAGCTGGGCCCGGGCCTGAACACACTGCCTGAGGGCAGCCGTCTCTCTCTGCCCCACGGCTGACATGCTGCGCACAAGACAAACACGCCAGATCACATAAATGACACTCTTTTCTATTTCCAAATGACTGGTTAAAGGGACAGGTCACCCAAAAATTAAATTGGTATTTTCATGGTGAGGAAAAAAAACTATTTTTCACAGATTAAAGTCTAGTCAGACAGGTTTGGAACAACATAATTACCATTTTTTTGGGTGAACTTTGCCTTTTATCTGACCATAAGGTGGTAAAATATTGCATAACAGCATTCCAGTCTTTAGACTTCAATTTGTTGACATTTTAAGATCGTATATGGTGCCAATATTTGTGAACTTTAGCTTTTAACAACAGCAAAAAAAAAACATCCCTTGAGAAAGAATTACAGTTCCATATTGATTTACTTAGAAACACTGATAATCAGTCTGATAAACCTTTGTTTCATTCAATGTCCATGCTTTTGTACACGTTTCATTTGCTATAAATAAAATGTTTTATATAGACTACAAATCAGAAGTTTGACTGATTTTCTTTCTCATGACATTAAAAACCTTTTGAGCCGGACTCGGCTTATGCTTAAAGGCAAAGGGGTGGTATAATGCCCTTTTCAGAAGATGTCAAATAAATCTCTGATGTCCCCAGAGTGTGTATGTTAAGTTTTTAGCTTAAAATACCCCACAGATATTTTTATATAGCATGTTAAAAATGTCACTTTTTGAGGGTGAGCAAAAACGCACCGTTTTTGTCTCTGTCCCTTTAAATGCAAATGAGCTGCTGCTCCCGGCACAGGGGGCGGAGCTTCAAGAGCTTGCACTCACACAGACATGCACTGAAAACTTTTAGCCTTTTATGTTCAAACTGGAGTCAGAAAGATGGAGAGATTCAAGAAGTGACAACATTTCTGAATGGTTAGTTGTTGAATTTATGTAGCTTATGTGTAGTTATCTTCTAGTCACTGATTAGCATAATTCTGTCTTGATAATCTATAAATGGTGTTCCAGGGGCGGGGTTTATGTAAATTTTAGGGTTTGTGATGTCACTAACCCGGGAGGAAGCTTGTGTAGTCCCTACCAGCCGTTTGCTGTAGTCCTTAAAAAGCTACTTCTTTAAAAGAAAATATCTCCCTTTGCTTTGAACTTTGAGCGTCTTAACTTTGCAGATGTTAATGCTAAAACAGCAACATTACACACTAACTAAAGTTAAAGAAAAGTGACATTTTTATATTTCACGATAACTATATACATCTCGATAAAGCCATTTTTATTTTATTTTACTTATTAAAATTAAGAACAAAGCAAATTACAAACACAATAGAGCAGAGATACAAATTAAATTAACAGTTTTTTAGCTAGTAGGTTTATTTACATGTAGTAAAAAACAACAGAATAATCAAGTGTATAACTAAAACACTGAGTAGTCTTCACTGTAGGACTCAAATATGCGTGCGCTTCAGGTATGCGTCAGTGCTTGAGCACCAACCGCACTTATATTGGTATATATATTTACATACCGTGAAATATAGATCTCTAAAGATCGACCTTTATACCATGGTCACGTTATGTACCATCATACTGCCCAGCCCAATTAAAAACCCATATCAGTCGCCTTCAGCTGTGGCCTTTTTCCTGTGAACTCAAAGCCTCTGACACATCCTGCAAATATCTGTGTGTTAAGAGGAATGATAAGCGCCTGCCAAAGTTAGAGCAACACGTGACGTGTCAAATAATATCCAGCTGACAGTGTCTTAAGGGCAAGATGCCATGATTCCTGGAGCGTTCGTGCAAAAGAAACAGACTAAACATGTCCCAGCAGAGGAGGAGGGAGGGCAGTTTATACACCCATAACAATAAAAGGAAGAGCTGTTTAGTGTAGATCTCCAGACACATTTCTTATCATACTATTATTTTAATCTAAAAAAATCTAATGACTGATGGTGCAACAATATAAACATGTTATGTAATAAAAGCCAATAACAGAATTCAGAAAACAAACAAATCAGCAACCTCTGCACAGCATGAATTGGCCAGAACAAAAGCTTAGTGTCCACAGATCTAGAGCTTTCTATTCTGACAGCATGCTGGATTAGAAACCAGAGGAAAGGGAAACAAGACCATATTTGGATATCTTAATTAAAACAACTTTTGCAGGATCTTACATTACATACAGACACTTAACACTCTGGTTTCAACACAATAACGTGCCCTTATATGAGTACTACTGGCACTAACAACGTGTATTCAGTGTTAGCAGAGGATGATGATAATATCATCATGGTACTGAAATTAGCATTCACGTACAGTACCATGGTATTTAAGAGAATACCATGGTACTACCATAACACGTCAAAAAACAAAGTAATGCGACGGTACTTTATTTTTGGCTAGTGTAACTAATAAGTAACCATACGGACACTTTATAAATTGACCTTTTGCAATTATTAATACTAATATGGTTATCATGAGCGGCGTTCACGAGAAGTGATTTCGTTTACAATCTGAAAAGGCCTAGATGCATTTAAAACGTCATGTCAAAATACCGAATCGGTTCATACCTCTTCTTGTCAATCAAGCGATATACAACGGACGTCATTTTGATCCAAATGTGTAGCTTAGTTTGCGAATTGTCAATTGATGAAAGTCTATTTGTTCTCACGGTTTATTTAACAGACCCCCTATCCTTGGCTCACTGCGACGTCATCGCACACGTCACCATCAGCGCGGCCTCCACACGAGCCGGCTGATTCTGCACGTACACGGGGCCAACTCGCGGGGGCGCGCGACTGACGGCTCGAACAGAGGACAGAAACGACCCCAAAACACACAAAGAGCACAAATCTTAAAAAAAAAACACATGGTGCAACTTCTGTCTTAAGAGGAACCAAAAAGTGGAAGGAGGAACTGATACTTCAGTTATAAGGATTAAATGCTGATGTGTCTTTAAAAAAAAAAATACTGCAAAAATGCTGATATCAGACCTTCCAATGACCTTTGCACTTCATTAAGAGTTGACTGATAAACAAACTTCACTGGTATCACAGTTCAGTGTGTGAAAATCTCAATGACAATAATAGGTATAATTAATACCCTACTTCTTATCTTATGTGTATTTGTATTTAACTAGAGATGATGTAATCTTGAAAATGACATTAATATCTAGTGCTCTCAGTACACAAATACACCATGAGTGTGAGTCCAAATGAAGATAAGCAAAGCAACATCTGTACAAAACAATCAACCCAAAACTGAGGCAACTTTCATATGTAGGTGAAAGTTTCCTAACCGAATCTGGTAACATTATTTTCCAATTTCCAATTATTTGTGTCACATGTTGTATGCATTTATAATAGAAATAACATGCAACTGACCCTAAATCAAATCCTAATCCAATAGTAAGTACAAGTAGTTAATTTATATAATGTACCTAAATGTAAAATTTCACCATAACAACACCTTAAAACAAAGTGTAACGCCAAATTCTTAATGCTGCTCAAATAACTTAATTCTTGCATGTAATGTTAATTGTTATGATTATTTTTTTGCACTTGTACACTATCTTTCATTAACCAGACTCCATTTGTAATCCCAAAATTCAAATGCTTGATAGAGAATATTACGCAACATTTGAGCACGGACCAAATGTACACTTTTCCAAGACATTTAAGCAAAATAAAACAATGACTGAACATCTGAAGCGGACGCTGCAAATATACCCTACAGCCCGCCCGTCTGTAGCCCCTTAACAAGTCACATTTATCGAGGACATACTGACCTAAATCCATCATTCGTAAAAATATACATTTTAAAGTATGTCATTAAAACGATTATCATATTACATATACACTTGTAAAGATCTTAAACACATCACCAAAACACAAAAGAAGAAAGTGTGATTGGTTACAAAATGGTGAGCTCGTGCACTCTCCCCCTCTTTAACCCAGATTAACATTCCGACGCCGTATTAGCTAACAGTTCGACTATTTTTACAACAAAACATGTTATTACATACCTGCACTACCTGGTACCCTTTTATGGAAATGAAATGTTATTAATATAACAAAGCCTTCGGGAGAAAGCAGCGCCGCGTCCTCTCATGCGTTAGGCTACCCAGTATCAGCAAAGCTAATGTCAAACAAGAATCGGATAATGACGCGAGAGACCGTGACCTCGCGATATTACGATTGCGTTCTCAAACGTGATGCTGCCATCTAGTGGCCATTGAAAGACATTTAGATGAAATCGATGGAACTAAATTTAAGATATTTTAATAGCTTACACTTTGAGTACACGGGCCGGGGTACAGTGCCCCCTCAGAAAATTGTACAGTTACTAATCATTTTTAACTTCTTTTAGACTTTTAAACTTCTTCTAATCGAGTTTAACATGAAATATTCTAATGTAGTACGATCAATGGATTTATTTGTACTAAAATGTCGTACATTACAACGTCGATTATGTAGTAGCCTACTTGTCACATGCATGAATGGACGTTTAAGTAAAAAACAAAACAAAAGTGCCTCATAAGTCGTTTTATTTCTGTTTGTGTTTCTCTTTATATTGACTAAATTAGTGCCATATTTCTTTTATAAATTGTTTACAATTTTGTTTAGCTTAATCCCATTTCTTCACATGAATGTGATATAGTAAAATAAAATAAAACATATTTTTGGAATCAATGGTATCTTGTATAATAATAATGATGATAATAATGATATGGTTTAATTTGTTTTAATTTTGTCCCAGCCCTCTGTACTTTCTGTTCAGAGAAACCTGAAACTACTTTACATTTATTTTGGAACTGCTCTCTCACAGTGATATTTTGGTGTGATATTTGTGTGATTTTATCAAATGTTATGTGAATCATAAATTTGAATTTACATATAGAAATGTAATTTTTGGTTTTTTAATGAATGTGAAAAGAAAAGTGATATTTATTTTATAAACCTTATTTTCCTGTTAGCTAAATTTCACATTCACAAATGTAAATTTTCTAAATGCAATCCTCTTTTTTAAGATTTAAACTTGAAATGAAAATGTATTTTGAATCTATTGAGTTCTCTAAAAACTTAAAAGCTATAAGAACAGTTTAAGGACTTGGCACTTGATCTGGATTGAAAGACTGAAGGAACTTAATATGGACTGAAGGACACTGGAGTATTATTGTATTATGTTATGACAATGACAATAATTGTTAATGTTCTTGTGTTTTGTTTTTGTTGTTGTTTTCTTCCACAAGCATTTAGCCTCTTTATACTCTACAGATGAGATTTCTTTGTCTACTGTTTAACTGACTATGATGACCTGACCTGATGTACTTGTTACATCATAAGAAGAATGGCATCTACGGTAATGTTAATCTTTCTGTTTTTTCCGAGGTTTACTGTAGTCAGCCGGATCCGGGCCGTATCCAGACCAGATGGTGGACCTGCGCCTAGACACGACCACAACGCATGATGTAGTCAGCCAGATCCGGGCCGTATCCAGATGGTGGACCTGCACCTATACGACCACAACGCATGATGTAGTCATCCGGATCCGGGCCGTATCCAAATGGTGGACCTGCACCTAGACACGACCACAACGCATGATGTAGTCAGCCGGATCCGGGCGGTATCCAGATGGTGGACCTGCACCTAGACACGACCACAACGCATGATGTAGTCAGCCGGATCCGGGCCGTATCCAAATGGTGGACCTGCACCTAGACACGACCACAACGCATGATGTAGTCAGCCAGATCCGGGCCGTATCCAGATGGTGGACCTGCACCTATACGACCACAACGCATGATGTAGTCAGCCGGATCCGGGCCGTATCCAGATGGTGGACCTGCACCTATACGACCACAACGCATGATGTAGTCATCCGGATCCGGGCCGTATCCAGATGGTGGACCTGCACCTATACGACCACAACGCATGATGTAGTCAGCCGGATCCGGGCCGTATCCAAATGGTGGACCTGCACCTAGACACGACCACAACGCATGATGTAGTCATCCGGATCCGGGCGGTATCCAGATGGTGGACCTGCACCTAGACACGACCACACCGCATGATGTAGTCATCCGGATCCGGGCCGTATCCAGATGGTGGACCTGCGCCTAGACACGACCACAACGCATGATGTAGTCATCCGGATCCGGGCCGTATCCAGATGGTGGACCTGCGCCTAGACACGACCACAACGCATGATGTAGTCAGCCGGATCCGGGCCGTATCCAGATGGTGGACCTGCACCTATACGACCACAACGCATGATGTAGTCAGCCGGATCCGGGCCGTATCCAGATGGTGGACCTGCGCCTAGACACGACCACAACGCATGATGTAGTCAGCCGGATCCGGGTGGTATCCAGATGGTGGACCTGCACCTAGACACGACCACAACGCATGATGTAGTCAGCCGGATCCGGGCCGTATCCAAATGGTGGACCTGCACCTAGACACGACCACAACGCATGATGTAGTCAGCCGGATCCGGGCGGTCTCCAGATGGTGGACCTGCACCTAGACACGACCACAACGCATGATGTAGTCAGCCGGATCCGGGCGGTATCCAGATGGTGGACCTGCACCTAGACACGACCACAACGCATGATGTAGTCAGCCGGATCCGGGCGGTATCCAAATGGTGGACCTGCACCTAGACACGACCACAACGCATGATGTAGTCAGCCGGATCCGGGCGGTATCCAGATGGTGGACCTGCACCTAGACACGACCACAACGCATGATGTAGTCATCCGGATCCGGGCCGTATCCGGATGGTGGACCTGCGCCTAGACACGACCACAACGCATGATGTAGTCAGCCGGATCCGGGCGGTATCCAGATGGTGGACCTGCACCTAGACACGACCACAACGCATGATGTAGTCAGCCGGATCCGGGCGGTATCCAGATGGTGGACCTGCACCTAGACACGACCACAACGCATGATGTAGTCAGCCGGATCCGGGCGGTATCCAAATGGTGGACCTGCACCTAGACACGACCACAACGCATGATGTAGTCAGCCGGATCCGGGCGGTATCCAGATGGTGGACCTGCACCTAGACACGACCACAACGCATGATGTAGTCAGCCGGATCCGGGCGGTATCCAGATGGTGGACCTGCACCTAGACACGACCACAACGCATGATGTAGTCAGCCGGATCCGGGCGGTATCCAGATGGTGGACCTGCACCTAGACACGACCACAACGCATGATGTAGTCAGCCGGATCCGGGCGGTATCCAGATGGTGGACCTGCACCTAGACACGACCACAACGCATGATGTAGTCAGCCGGATCCGGGCGGTATCCAAATGGTGGACCTGCACCTAGACACGACCACAACGCATGATGTAGTCAGCCGGATCCGGGCCGTATCCAGATGGTGGACCTGCACCTATACGACCACAACGCATGATGTAGTCAGCCGGATCCGGGCCGTATCCAGATGGTGGACCTGCACCTATACGACCACAACGCATGATGTAGTCAGCCGGATCCGGGCGGTATCCAGATGGTGGACCTGCACCTAGACACGACCACAACGCATGATGTAGTCAGCCGGATCCGGGCGGTATCCAAATGGTGGACCTGCACCTAGACACGACCACAACGCATGATGTAGTCAGCCGGATCCGGGCCGTATCCAGATGGTGGACCTGCACCTATACGACCACAACGCATGATGTAGTCAGCCGGATCCGGGCCGTATCCAGATGGTGGACCTGCACCTATACGACCACAACGCATGATGTAGTCAGCCGGATCCGGGCCGTATCCAGATGGTGGACCTGCACCTAGACACGACCACAACGCATGATGTAGTCAGCCGGATCCGGGCGGTATCCAGATGGTGGACCTGCACCTAGACACGACCACAACGCATGATGTAGTCAGCCGGATCCGGGCGGTATCCAGATGGTGGACCTGCACCTAGACACGACCACAACGCATGATGTAGTCATCCGGATCCGGGCCGTATCCAGATGGTGGACCTGCACCTATACGACCACAACGCATGATGTAGTCAGCCGGATCCGGGCCGTATCCAGATGGTGGACCTGCACCTATACGACCACAACGCATGATGTAGTCAGCCGGATCCGGGCCGTATCCAGATGGTGGACCTGCACCTATACGACCACAACGCATGATGTAGTCAGCCGGATCCGGGCCGTATCCAGATGGTGGACCTGCGCCTAGACACGACCACAACGCATGATGTAGTCAGCCGGATCCGGGCCGTATCCAGATGGTGGACCTGCACCTAGACACGACCACAACGCATGATGTAGTCAGCCGGATCCGGGCCGTATCCAGATGGTGGACCTGCACCTATACGACCACAACGCATGATGTAGTCAGCCGGATCCGGGCCGTATCCAGATGGTGGACCTGCACCTAGACACGACCACAACGCATGATGTAGTCAGCCGGATCCGGGCGGTATCCAAATGGTGGACCTGCACCTAGACACGACCACAACGCATGATGTAGTCAGCCGGATCCGGGCGGTATCCAGATGGTGGACCTGCACCTAGACACGACCACAACGCATGATGTAGTCAGCCGGATCCGGGCGGTATCCAGATGGTGGACCTGCACCTAGACACGACCACAACGCATGATGTAGTCATCCGGATCCGGGCCGTATCCAGATGGTGGACCTGCACCTATACGACCACAACGCATGATGTAGTCAGCCGGATCCGGGCCGTATCCAGATGGTGGACCTGCACCTATACGACCACAACGCATGATGTAGTCAGCCGGATCCGGGCCGTATCCAGATGGTGGACCTGCGCCTAGACACGACCACAACGCATGATGTAGTCAGCCGGATCCGGGCCGTATCCAGATGGTGGACCTGCACCTAGACACGACCACAACGCATGATGTAGTCAGCCGGATCCGGGCCGTATCCAGATGGTGGACCTGCACCTAGACACGACCACAACGCATGATGTAGTCAGCCGGATCCGGGCCGTATCCAGATGGTGGACCTGCGCCTAGACACGACCACAACGCATGATGTAGTCAGCCGGATCCGGGCCGTATCCAGATGGTGGACCTGCACCTAGACACGACCACAACGCATGATGTAGTCAGCCGGATCCGGGCGGTATCCAGATGGTGGACCTGCACCTAGACACGACCACAACGCCTTCCTGAAGTGCCAGCCTCATCAGCCCTGTGAAGGCCTCATCGACACGACAGCCATCGGCACTGATCCTCAACAAACTTGTCTCCATACTGGCGTGACTCCGATCTCTAACCAGATGGAACTGGATAATATTCTGAATGTTCTGATCCAATCTGACTTCTGACCTGTAATGCTGCCTGAATCATAATCATTCACTGTTCGTTCACTGGCCAGAGGAGAACTGGCCCCGACTGAGCCTGGGTTCTCCCAAGGTTTTTTTCTCGATATTGTCACTGATGGAGTTTGGGTTCCTTGTCACTGTCGCCTTTGACTTTTGGCTTGCTTAGTTGGGGACATTTAATATTCAACCATATTATTGATCTGCCTTACTTAAAGTGGACGATGACGCCATTTTCTTCTAAAAACAAACTTTGTTGCATTATTTTCCTGTTATCTCTGTAAAGCTGCTTTGAAACAATCTGTATTGTAAAAAGTGCTATATAAATAAAGGTGACTTGACTTGACTATGTTTACTAGGATACTCGTTGAAACACTCACTTTTTTTAAACAGCTCAATTCAGTATTCTTGCGCTGTCTGAGTCACAGCTTTCTGGGCGACCGCTTTTGCGCACAGAAACTTCCCACACCACTTGTGAATAACAAATTGCGTTCAAACTTTTGCTTCTTCTTGCACTTGCATGTTTAAATTGGCACGGCTTAAACTTTCGATGCAGCGCTGGTCCATCAATCCGAGCGTCGTTCATGTTTGCTCTCATGTTCTCACAATATTGCATTGCTAGAATTCATAAAAATGTTACTGGCCAACTGGTGATTGACACCGTTTCATATACTCAAGTGTTCATTTTAGGCCGTATTAATCATTCAGCTTAATAAAAAAACATTATAAGTGGATCTTAGTGGGCTTATAAAAAATTATGACATGGTCCCTTTAAATAAATGCTTATTTAATATAATCTTCGTGGTTATGTAAAAAACAAAAAAAAAACAAAAAAACGTGCATGCAGAGTCAGTCTCTGTTTTCATTTCCTTTCTTGTATTATTCCAAAGATTCAGGTAAATCTTTAAACTTGAAGGAACAGTTACCCAAAAACAAATTCAATAATCTAAAAAATTATATCATCATCAATTACTCACCCTCATGTTAGGTATTGGGGTATTTTTTAAAATATGATGTGACCCCTTTAAACAAATGCTTTCAAAGAATAGAAAAGAATATATGCTTTTAAACAGTCCCGATGACAACACTTTGAAGTTTAAATGCAAGGGCCTATTTGTAAAGTTCAAGGAAGACGATGAAGAAGGTATACAAGGTTTATTAGATAAATATTACAAGGATAATAGCCAACGTGTGATACATAACAATACCGGAGCAAGAACTGAACTCAAGCAGGAACTTAAATACACAAAGATAATTAACTAAAAGAGGAACAGCTGTGATGATTAGTGTCCATGGTGACTGAAGAGAAACAAACTGAACACGGTGACACTATTGTGTTTCCTGAAATAAATAATAAAATTAGGTGCATGACACCCCTATTCATGGATATTTAGGTGACAGAAGCTATTATTGTATCATTAGAAAGATTTATGTCAATCTTAAAACTTATAGAAACTTAGAAATAGTTACCCAAAACAAATTCTATTACTCACCCTCATGTCGGTCCAAACAAAGTCATATAAACTGCTATTTTTACAGTGGACCACAAAAGGACAATTTTGAAGAATCTTTATGCAGCTGTTTTCCATACAATGTCTTTTCATAGTCATCAAAAAAGCTCCAAAAATGGCATAACAGTAACATAAGTATCCATTTAGCCATATGTGCAATCAATTCAAGACTTGATGTTAAGATGTTAAACCATGTTTTAATCACTGATACCATTTCCATAGACTGAAGTTCTGAAATGTCTGAAAATGCTGCAGCAAAATGTTGTTTTGCCACTGTCACTCAGAACTTAAATCTTCCACACACACACACACACACAAAATTCATTTTAATTTTTAAATGCACCATTCCATTTAAATGTACTCTTTCTGTGCTTGGTTGCGGTGTCATTGTGATAGCGCTGATCAGGGTAAGCTGAGGTGAGTCCACACACTGGGCTGCATTAGGAATTCATTGTGTTTGTTTAACTCAGGGCTCACATTTCCCTGCTCTCACTGAGACTGTCACAGAGATAGGGCCATGCAACCAGAAACGCTGTGGGTACAATTGGTTATACTATCCACCTTCACATCCTCAGACTGTTGCTGAGGGAAAGACAAGTGACATCCATGTGGATCCATTCAATATATTATTCAGAAGTCTCACGTGTGCCACAGAGCTGCAGTTAGATGAAGCTTATTAAATGCACCTTCTAATAAAGTTTTGTACCGGTATTTAGCAGTTGCAACAAGTGAACACAATAAAACTGACACATTCAGACACCAGTCCGAAACAGACAATGAAGGCAGTGGTTGAACTGTAGCCAATTCTGTATTATCTCTTTTTCACAGGTAACAGTGAATATATATATATTTTTTATTATTGGGGTCAAATCGATTAATCGCATCTAACATACAAGTTTGTCTTTATATAATATTTGCGTGCATATATATATATATATGTGTGTGTATATACATACATATATATATATTATGTTAGATGCGATTAATCAATTTGACATCACTACAATTTATTTATTTAAATATTTATTTATTTGTCGGTACAGGCCATGTGTCCATACAGAAATTCAGTTTGTCTTTATATAATAGTTGTGTGTGTATACAGTATAGCCTACACCAAGGGCGTAGAATTTAGCCCTACACTATAGGCTATGTGTGTGTGTGTCATGGTGTGTGTATATATAGTTTAAACACACTTTTATTAGATGCGATTAATCGATTTGACAGCACTACAATTCATTTATTTAAGTATTTATTTATACAAAAATTCACTTTCAAAAATAAAACCTACACAGACAATTATTCACTGGGGTAAAATGTGTGACAACTTGTCCCAGTGATCTATTTTCTAATGCAGTATATGCAACCTACTTCCACGACCCAAGTTATAATCGGTATGTAGGCAACACTCGTCACCTCAAGAGCTCGCGCACCATTTTCCGTTCACACACACGCGCGCGTCCACACAGAGACACGTTCTTCTCTCCTTGTGGCCAATCCCACCATCATCAGCTGTCAGCCGGATTACCTCAAGCCTGGAGTCGCCTAATGCCTGAATGGTGGTGTTAGTGAGATGGGAACAATCTAATGCGAGCGACATTTAGTGCATGCATAGTATCCGACAGCACCAGCATCGTCATCTTAGGTCCATGCTGCAGAGACCGAAGCCTTGAGGATCCCCAAGCATCATGTCGGGAGGCGAACACAGGGGAACCACAAAACGCTGAAACAGCAGCAGCAGCAGCAGCAGCACCACCTTCCGCGTTACCCCGAGCCTGTCGCTGGTGCTCTGGCGTCGGCTGGATCCATAATGCGCGTTAGTCAAGCCTGACACCACCGACCGAGATGCTGCCGGGCTCTATCCAGATAACCGGAGAGGCGCTGTCCTGCGCGGAGGTGAAAGACATCTGCGACAGCCTGAAGGAGAACAGCGTGCGCCTGCTGTCCGTGCGCGGCTGTCAGCTGTCGGACCGAGACTTCGGCCGTGTGTGTCGCGGCGTCGCAGAGTCACACTCCCTCGCTCAGCTCAACCTGAACCTCGGCGTGGTGTCCACCATCGGCCGGACCAAGCATCTGGCAGATGCGCTGAAGGCCAACAGATCCATTCAGACCCTCTTGTGAGTGTTTCCGAAAGAAATCTTTATTTAGGCAAGCGAACGACAATATTATCGCGCTTACTCAAGCGATATTATCGGGAAGTGTGCTAATGTACTACTTTTCTATAAGCGAGCAGTCTTTGCGACTTAAGGAATAGCCATTTCGAGAGACTGTTTTTACTTTGACAAACAGACTTAAATGGATAGTTCAATTCTGTCATTAATTACTCACCCTCATGTTGCTCCAAACTCGACTTTCGCTCATCTTCAGAACACAAATGAAGATCTTTTTGTTGAAATCTGAGATCTCTCTGTTCCTCCATTGACAGCTACGCAACTACCACTTTGACGCATTAAAAAGTTCACAAAGAGATGTAAAACTAATCCATATGAATTTAGCGGTTTAGTCCAACATTTTCTGAAGATACACTATCGCTTTATATGATGAACAAATTGAATTTGGGCTTTTATTCACATAAACATTCATCAACTCACACATCAGTTGATTTATGGTAAATGCAAGCATGTTTACTTGATGTGTGAGGGTGAACCAATAAAGTTCATTCTCTAGATTAAGCTTTTTCAAGAACCAATGAGGTTCATTCTCGTGTTACGCAAGAACCAATGATGTTCATTCTCGTGTTACGCAAGAACCAATGAGGTTCATTCTTGTGTTGCAGCAGCTTCTGTAAGAACCAATGAGGTTTGTTCTCGCACGTCAAGCAGGTTCGGTGGGTTGAGCTTTGCTGATCAATGTTTCACTGTGAATAAAAGCTTAAATTCAATCTGTTCATCATTATAAACCAATCGAATCTCTTCAGAGAATTTGGACTTAACCACTCAAATCATATGGATTATTTTTATGATCTCTATTCTCTTTATGAACTTTTTAAAGCGTCAGTTGCGTAGCTGTCAATGGAGGAACAGAAAGTTCTCAGATTTCATTAAAAAAAAATGTGTTAGTCCGCTATCCAAAAAGGATCAGCCTACATGCCGAGATACTAGCAATCTTCTTAAATACAAGTGCAAAAAAGTGCATTTAAAAAATTCAACAAACTTTTTGTTCAAAATTCAAAATATTTTTGAAATATTAAAGCTACATAAATAATAATTCCATAAAATTATTTTTGAAATATTAAAGCTACACTGAGGAAGGTCCTGCACCTTGGGAGGACCTTCCTCAGCATAGCTTTAATATTTCAAAAATAATTTCAATAAATAAAATTCACTTTTGTTGTACAAATTAACTCCATGATGTAATTAATCATATGTTTGGCAGCAACATTAAATACCGTTCTGCAGTTAAGTGCGTATGTTACATAATCTACTCTGGCAGACAGCTGTAGGTGTCACTACTGGAGGTGCCACAACATAATGAGACATGTCAGTTTTAGCCAGTGGATATAGTGGCATGTGTCACTACAACTTGAGATGTGCCATTGGGTTGCGTCATGTGCCACTTGCAGAACAATTGGGGAACAATTTGAACAATTGAATACTTGCAGAACAATGCTTTATGCGGTCAAACATACGATTTATTACATCGCTGAGTTAATGTGTACAACAAAAATGAATTTTATTTATTATACATAATTCCATAAAATTATTATTGAAATATTAAAGCCATGGTTGAGAATCTTGTGCTGACCAGTGTTACACTTAGGCTTACTTATACTGAGTAGGTTTACAGTAACGGATGCGATTGTTAATGCGTTATTAGAAGTGAATATTAGTAGTCTTTCCTAGAATGGGCGTGATAAACTACATAAAGCACTGGTATTACAAACCATTCAGTGGCACATGACACCCAAATACAGACGTGACACAAATAACACGTTTGAAAAAAATATTACTGACTTTATGCATTTAATTGATATTTAAAATGTCACTTAATTAGGCTATTTATTTAGGATTTTGTGTCACAATGACGTCAGCTCATTTCATCTGTCACTGTCAGTCACTACTGGAGGTGTCACAATGTACAGCAACATGTTCTGCGCCTCGGTGTCAGTCAGGTGTCGTGCCGATGAAGACCGGATGTGTCACTAAGCATAGTGACATGTGCCATTGGCCTCTGTGCGTCAGATGTCATCTCACTTAATGTTAATACCACTACCGAGTTAATATTTATTTTACATGGTGTATTTTAACAGTGTTGTTCAATAAAACCCATATGATTACTTACTTTCATACTTTATTTGAACCAATTATTATAGCTTGTTATTATATATTTGTTTTTTAAGTCATTTTAAAGGCTGTGGTTCACTTGGATCTATTTTTATTACCACATTTTTTATCCGATTACATGATTAATCGAAGGAATAATCGGTAGAATACTCAATTACTAACATAATGGATAGCTGCAGCCCTAATTTCCATCACTTCCATCCAAATTACAGTAGTCGAGGTGTGAACGCAGCGTTAGGCCGTGTGGCCACCAAAGGCGCTTGGCGGCGCTCTGCTGAAAACACCTAGCTGTGGGCGCTTGAGAGCGCTTTGTCAGCGCAGCATTATTTTGAGTTGAGACGCTTTGCTTGTTATGATACGGAATTAAAATGTCGATACAATGAAAAGTATTTGGTCTGGCTCTTGTTTTAAATAATTTTGTTCCGTTATTGTGCTTGTTTTTGTCATCTGTTGACGTTGTACAAGCAGAATGTGGCGGTTGGTCGGTGTGGTATTAGCCCCTCCCCTCCTCCACTGTGATTGGACGGCTGGGTAAAAAGTGACAGTGATGAGCGCTGCGTTTTACCCAAAGGTGAACATTCTTCAACTCTCGGCGACCGGTAAAAACCGCCGGGCGTTCAGTGCTTGAGCGTTAAATACACGCTCAGCGCCTCGTTACGCTCATGGCGTTCTAAAAACGCGGCGCTCCCATTGAAAACAATTGGAAAAATGCGCCAGCAGCCGCGTGAAAAAACGCTTTGGTGGACACCGGGCCTAAGCTCGTTGTTTTGGTTCAAGAAAAGGCGGCTGCTGTTTCGTTTGTGGTGCTCAGTGACGACATGTGATGTCTGCGCGAGCAGGTGCGCGGACGTATGGGAATACATGTTGACAGGCAGATAGGACATCGTACCATTGCATTCAGACCTAAAGCAATGATTGGACAAACATTTTATGGTCCTACGCCTTCCACAGACGATATATACATATAAATACATTTAGACCACTTAACTTAGTGATTGCCATCAGGGTGTGAAGAGACTTTCAACCAGCATAACAAAAAAACGTTTCTGGAACAAATCACACAATGTAAAACACTAATGTGTTGCCGCCATTTTCTTCAGGGAATGCAAATTTAGCACAGAACGTAATGTCCATCTCTGTTCACTTTGCCCCTTATAGTCTCCACGGAAGTCCACTTTTAGATGCAGGACTGGTCACCCTGAATGGAGCGCTCTCCACTCACCCTTCCCTGGTGTCCTTGGATTTGGGGGACTGCATGCTGGGAGATGAGGCCATCCGCATCATTTGTGGCATGCTTCCTCCGGATGGAGCTAAATCGGGTAAAACATCACAGCTTTCCATACAAAAACCCGTGATACATTGAGGTTAACTAAGTAGTTATATATGTTATGTTAAGTGGAGTATATTACAGTACTTTTACATTGGCTGAATAAATATGCCATTAAATATGTCAGAAATATACAGCATTTGTGCAAAACTGATATACTGTACATGTTTTGTAGTTCTGCTGCACTCTCTCAGTGCTTTGGCACATTTATCAGTGTGAACACACAGCGAAAACAGGAAAACGTGTTTCAAAACACATTTTCTCCACTTTCTTAAAATGATAAATGAGATAACCTGTTTCTGTAGTTGAAATAGCTGTTTGTAGGCTGTGTGTAAGGTTTTCAATAAGTTTGAAAATACTGTAATTCCAGCAAACACAAATATGTCCTTAAACCGTTAATGTTCTCTGAACGTTCAAAGCGTCCAGTTTTTCTTGGTTATGGGAACCTTAAGGAAACATTCAATTTCGATTATTAAGGCTCGTACACACCGGGACGAATATCGGCGCGCGTTATTCGGCAGCGTTTTTCAACGCTTTTTTGTGTTCACACCCAAGCGATTTTCGCTGACGATGAGCCGAGTGAACATGCAAATTCATTCCCTGACATTAGATGGCGCCCATTTGCTCTGCAATACCACTCCATAACATTCTCTTTTATCAAGATTTTTGTAGTCGCTGTCGCGTTTGTCATATAGTTCTTTATGTTCCGACAGCAACGAGACCAGCAGCTCTACATTCATCTTGCCTTGCATCTTCCTCGTCTTATTTCTTCCCGGCAGTGTAGACGCTACTTGGCGTATATCTTCTTCGCCGTTACGTATGTGTGCTCGGCAAGACCGTTTTGTGTTTGAGCGCCCCCAAGTTGTGTTTTACTGTAACTTCAGAAGCTCCAGACACGTGAGCAAAAGCGCCAATCTCATTGGTCGGATAGTTTTTGACGCGGTGCGTCAAACTAAAAAAACAAACCCGAGGCGTTTTTGAAAAAAATTACGCTTTTACACGTGGCGTTTTTCGTGTCGGTGTGCACACTCACATTGGCGCCCTTTGTTTAGTCACGAGGCGTTAAACGTCGGCGAATATCGCGCGCGAAATTCGTCCCGGTGTGAACAGGCCTTTAGACTTACTTTTTATTGTTCTCTGAATATTCTGAAACAACTATTAACATTTAAAAATGTTACACGATCGTCCAATTCAGAAAAAAAAAAAAAAAACTTTTCATAGATAATGTTTTTGTGCCAACATTTTGAGAATATTATTAAGGACCAGAAAACTGAAGGAACATTCTATTAAAGCAACACTAAGTAAGATTTTTTTACCTTAAAATAATGTTTCCAAAATGGTTTCAGTGGTTCATTAAGTCGTAACAGGGTAAAATGGCACTTATGCCTCCGCTGTGCGGTCCTATATCTGCTATAACCACGCTATGTAAGATTGCCAGATCGGGTCGCGTTTCTGTAGTTCTAACGAGACATAAGAAAACTACAAATTTGACTTGCTTTACGTCAAGCGTTACAATAGTCATTATTTTGTTTTTCTTCGTTTCTGATGTCGCAATACATCACACTTTCATGAAATCATGCAACATACTCTACCTTGCCTGTGGACATCGTTCATTCCAAAGCCGGCGCTGGATAAACAGCGAGCGTGTGTGCGACAGTAGGCTGCGCTAGGCTAAATTATCTACGACAGCGGTAATGGACAATTCCACTTCCAACCTGTAGGGCGACCGCAGAGGAAAAGTTACTTGGTGTTGCTTTAATGTTACTGGAAGAAAGTTTGTTCATTACTTTGAGAGAATGTTAGGGAAAGTAGCTTTAGATCTAGAAGCATGCTGGGAGCTATTATGAATCAACAGTGCGATCAATAATACTGCACAGGGCTTAAAGAGCTGACACTGAGTGCTAACCCAGCCATCAGCAGCCAGGGTTGGGCTCGACTGGCCGTCGCCGTGGCTCACAGCTCACAGTTACGGGTCCTCAACCTTGACTACAATCCCTTAGGTGAGTGATCTTCTGCGGTTTTGAGGTATGGATATGTGCTGGCCATGATACACAGATACCGCTAAACTGACAGGAAATTCGATCAGGGATTTGTTTTCAGGCCAATTTAAATTTTGGACATTTACTGTATAGCATTTTTAATCGTTTATACGCTTGGCTTGACACATAAATCTATTTAACAATTAATTCAAAAGTATTTCCCTGAAGTATAGTGGCAGGTGTAGATGTCCCAGTGTATATATTAAGACATTTATTTTGCTGACTGCGAATGAAACTGCCAGCCAAGCGTACAAATGTTTCTGCTGGAGAAATGCAGGGTTTGCTCTTTGTTTGAAAAGCGCTAGGTTTGCAGGTTGGACTCTGAGACGCCTGTCTCAGCTTTTCCCTCTGCTTGTGGTTTCCAGGGGATCACATCGCTGGGATGTTGGCTGTCTCTGTCGCATCCAGTCGAACTCTTGAAGTTCTGGACCTGGAGGGAACCGGACTCACCAATCAGTCAGCACAGGTACATTGCAAACTCAGAACTGCTTCATGAAACAAGTCAAGTCACCTTTATTTATATAGCACTTTTTACAATACAGATTGTTTCAAAGCAGCTTTACAGAGATAACAGGAAAATAATGCAACAAAGTTTGTTTCTGCTGTACAGCAGATCTAGAAGAAAATAGCGTCATGGTCCAGCTTAAGTAAGTTCAGTGATGGTTCATTTATGTTGTAAAAAAGGTATTAATTTAGTTCATTTATATATATATATAGCCGCTCTGGAGAAAACAGCAATGTCATCGTCCAGCTCAGTTCAGTTCTCATATAATGGTGTCAATGCAGGCAGATCAATATTATTGTTGAATATTAAACTAAGCAAGCCAAAAGCCAAAAGCCAAAGGCGACAGTGACAAGGAACCAAAACTTCATCAGGAGACAGAATGGGGGGGGGGGAAATAGCGTCATAGTTCACAGTTCTCCTCTGGCCAATGAACAAACAGTGTATGATTATGATTCAGGCAGCATTACAGGTCAGAAGTCAGATTGGATTGGAACAATATATTTATTCAAATGAATTATTTTTGAAGGATTTTGTTATTGTTGTTGGTTAATATTTACGTTATTATTTTTACATTACATTACATTATTATTTAGAATAATATGCAGGCTAAGAATATTACATGCCTTATAGTTCAAAATTATTAATAAAAAAATTACTCACCCTCCATATTTCAACAGCTGTATTAGGGGTGGGCGCTATACCGGTATGAACGTGACTACCGGTATTATGTTGTACCATGATATGGATTTTGCGATACCGAGAATACCGTTAGATATTCATAAATTCAAATTTTGTAGTTATATTGTTTTGTTCAATTTGGTACTCTTTACAACGTTAAAATAACACTACTAATGACGATACAAAGTCGAGGCTGAACTTAACTTTTTCCTCTTGTGTCCAACTCGCGTGATGCACAGGCATTAATAATCAAACACTGAGAGCACGGTAACAGTCCAGTGTTTCCCACCACACACAGACTAATTCGTGGCGATGCGCCACAGAATCAACACCGACCGCCACATAATGCGTTTCGTTATTATTATTATTTTTTTACGCTATTTAAAACACGAAGTGTATTCATTCTCTGTCACTGTGACAGTGTGTCACTCCGTCTTGTCACACACGCACACACAGCGTCTGTCTATGAGGCGCCGGACGGGATAAAAGCGAAGCGAACTCCGCGATCGACAGCGAGAGAGACCGCGTGTGTCCGAGCATTAGTAAATTGATACATAGTAATATATAATTACTATATAAGAGGTATGGAAGTTCGATAAATGGACAACAATTTATATAAAAACAACAATTAAATTCTCACCACTGAATTAGCAGGATGTAGCCTACTTCTCTATACAAAAACTTCTCGGTTAACATAATGTTGTCTTCAATTAGGCCTAAGTGTCAAACCTCTCTGAAATCACAGTATTTCATATTTATTGATTATAACGTATTCAATAAACCAAACTCCAGTGTTACTCATCTTACGAATTATTAACGAAGGAATTATTCGACCCCCGCAAAATAAAAAGTGGAAAGAGATAACTAGTGAATTCAGGCCTACCTCATGTTGCACGTTTGCACTTTTTGAGAAAAACAATGGCACAATAAAAAAAGATTTTTCAGGTCTATGTCCAATTAAATCCCTCACCTTTTTCTAGTAATAGGGTTAAAATACATATTTTGCCTGTAATTTAACTAAGGTGTACTAAAATGTGATTCCAATTTTTTTTTCTCATATCGCAATATAATATCGATATCGTCCGGACAGTGAAAAATATTGTGATATGAATTTTTGCTCATATCGCCCACCTCTAAGCTGTATGACGTTCTTTCATCTGTGAACATAAACGTTACACTAATGTTCAAAAGTTTGATGTCAGTACGCTTTAAAAAAATACTTTTATTCAGCAAGGATGCATTAAAGGAGCTGTATGTAAGATTGTGGCCAAAATTGGTACTGCAATCACTTTCAAATTACTGTAGAGCGGTGTATCCCCTCCCCCTCCCCCCTGACTCGAGGTTGCCAGATAGGCTGCAGGATCCAGCAGGAACATAGGCTGCTACAAGGAGCTTTCAACTAGAGCAGAGCTGGCAACCCGGATGCCGAAACACTACTGACTTCGTGATTGGTAGATAGGTGGAGGGTGGGGCTTCAGGCCAAAACACAAGATGACAACATCAACATCAGTTGAGGGCTGCAACTTCACTTTTTAAATGACAATATCGTGGCCGTACTACTGTTGTCAGTGATATAAGTATTTTAAATGAACATGATTTCTTAATGTCTAGAGACACATCAGGGCCATTTTATGATTAATTGAAATACATTTCTTACATACAGCTCCTTTAAATTGATCAAAAGTGACAGTGAAGACATTTCTAATTTTGCTACATTTTTATATATTTTAAATAAATGCTGTTCTTTTAAACTTTCTATTCATCAAAGAAACCAGAAAAACAAAGATAAGAAGAGGGATGATGATAATAATCAGAAATGTTTCTTGAGCAGCAAATCTGAAGGATCATGTGACACTGAAGACTGGAGTAATAATGCTGAAAATTCAGCTTTGATCACAGGAATACATTACATTTTACAATATATTCAAATGAAAAAATGGTTATTTTAAACTGTAATAATATTTTACAATACTAGGCTACTGTTTTTACTGTATTGATCAATAAAAAAACGAGGAATTCCCGCACACTATCAATACTTGCAAATGAGTATTAACCTTTTATTAGCAACCTTTCAGTCTCAGGACCTTCATCAGGCATATGACCGAAACGTTGCTAATAAAATTGTGATGCTCATTTGCAAGGATGCTCTTTTTTTCTTTTTTTTTAACCATTTGGTCTATTTTCCCCCACACACACCTATCACCTGCAGGTGTGTGATGGTGATTGCCAATTTACTGTATTGATCAATGAAATGCAGTCTTGGTGAGCAGAATGACTTCTTTAAAAAACTAAAAAAAAACTATTACCGACTCCAAACTTTTGAATGGTATCGTGAAAATGTCTTAAGAATATCCTGATGACAGCCTATTCTTCAAAATTCCACTGAAGAAACAAATGATGAGAGTAAATAATGAGAATTTTTATGTTTGGGAGAATTATTCTATTAAGCTAGAACACCGTATGATATTTAGTTGCACTCCAAAATCTGTATAAATGCCTAATAGGTTGCAATTCTTAAAAAAAAAACTAAAAAAAAAAGTTATAAAAGAACCTGCCATGGACATTTCTGCAAGAATAAACCCTATTCTTTTTCTACTTCAACCATTTTCTAAATTAAATCAGTGATGAATTATGTGTGATGCATACAAGATAATCTGTGCAGTGACTACATTGATTTTACAATTGAAAGGAGATTGGGCATGTAGATCAGATATGCACTTCATAAACCAGATGAGTAATCCTAAACCTTTTCCTATCACCACCTGCAGAAAAATAGCACTGTGGAGAAAAAAAAATGGATTAAGCACAACTTTAAGCCATAATACCTCTGTCATCTTCACGTCATTGCAGCCTCACGTTATTATCTTTCTTCTATGAAACACAAAATGAGATGTTATGCGTTTCATGGAAGAAAGAAAACACCACAGGGTCAATACAATATGACCTATCAAATTCAGTAGATGGATGAACTATTCCTTAGTTTAAAAACCTTCTCTGCATCCTTTGGGACTGTATAATTAGAGGGTTTTTTGTCTTCATAATTCTCCACTAGAGGGCAAGGTTGTACAGAACATTTCTTATTTGTGATCTCCGTGTTTGTTCTCCAGTGTGTGTGATCCTCTCATGAAGGCTGTAATTGAAGGCTTTTTCCTGAAAAGACACCAAGTCTTTGATAGAGAACTTGATAGCTGCTCATCTCTCTTGATGTCATTGGATGGTAAAGTGCTCATTGGTTGCAGAATCTCAGCGGGTCATCCGGGTATTTGTGCTTAAAATTCAGCTTTGATCACAGGAATACATTACATTTTACAATATATTCAGATGAAAAGAAGGTTATTTTAAACTGTAATAATATTTCAGTCATAGTAATCTGTTCATGATTATTAAGTATTCGAACATTGTACTGATTTGATGATAATGTGGAGCAACACAACCTTTTATGCAAATGAGTGCAGAAATGGCCAGCGTAAAGGCGCAGTGTCGTTTACTTTTCACCTGCAAAACCCAGTCGTTTTAATGGGAATCCACGTGATCGGGCGTCGAGAGAAAGCTGCTTGGTTTGAAAGTGAATCGATGCCAGCTGTGCTTCATACATCGCTACGCTATTGACAACAGACAATGGCTTTTTGCCCACTAAACCCTATTCTTTTTCCACTTCAGCCATTTTCTAAATTAAATCAGTGTTGAATTATGCGTGATGCATACAAGGTAATCGCTACTTTCCTGCCCACTTTCGCTAATATAACCGCACCTTAAGGCACACTGGAACGCCAATCATTCATTGAATACTGCTGAACTTCCTTTCATCGCTTGTTTATTTATTGAATATTTCTGACTAATTTCATTTTATTTTCAGCACTGAAAGTCTCTTGGTTCTGTATGGTTCTGGGCAGTTAAAGGAGTAGTTCACTTTTTTAAAAACTTTTGCTGATAATTTACTCACCCCCATGTCATCCAAGATGTCCATGTCTTTCTTTCTTCAGTCGAAAAGAAATTAATGTTTTTGATGAAAACATTCCAGGATTTTTCTCCATATAATGGACTTCAATGGGAGCCAAACGGTTCAAGGTCTAAATGACCGTTTCAGTTCAGCTTCAAAGGGCTTTAAACGATACCAGACGATGAATAAGGGTCTTATCTAGAGAAACGATCTGTCATTTCAAAAATAAATAAAAAAGTTAAAGTTTTATAGGCACAAATGCTCGCCTTGCGAACTCTCCTGTTTGAACTCGTTCATCAAAATGAACGAATCTTTTTTCGAGTCAATGACTCGAAAAAAGATTCGTTCATTTTGATGAACGAGTCAATGACTCGAAAAAAGATTCGTTCATTTTGATGAACGAGTCAATGACTCGAAAAAAGATTCGTTCATTTTGATGAACGAGTTCGAACAGGAGAGTTCGCAAGGCGAGCATTTGTGCCTATAAAACTTTAACTTTTTTATTTATTTTTGAAATGACAGATCGTTTCTCTAGATAAGACCCTTATTCATCGTCTGGTATCGTTTAAAGCCCTTTGAAGCTGCACTGAAACGGTAATTTAGACCTTGAACCGTTTGGCTCCCATTGAAGTCCATTATATGGAGAAAAATCCTGGAATGTTTTCATCAAAAACATTAATTTCTTTTCGACTGAAGAAAGAAAGACATGGACATCTTGGATGACATGGGGGTGAGTAAATTATCAGCAAAAGTTTTTTAAAAAGTGAACTACTCCTTTAAGCTGAGAATCCCGATAAACATTTGAATCTCACAGGGAGCCAGAGGCGAGAGAAGACACTGACTTTACAGGTCATACGCTATATAAACCAAAGTATTGGGATACCTGGCCATTACAACAACAGGGACTGCAATGAGATCCCATTCTAAATACATAGTCATTAATATGGAGTTGGTCTCTCCTTTGCAGCTATAACAGCTTCCACTTCTCTGGGAAGGCTTTCCACGACATTTTGGAGTGTTTCTGTGGGAATTAATGCCCATTGATCCAGTAGAGCATTTGTGAGGTCAGGCACTGATGTTGGACACGAAGGCCTGGCTCGCTATCTCCATTCCAGTTCATTCAAGGTGTTGGATGGGGTTGAGGCCAGGGCTCTGTGCGGGCCAGTCAAGATCTTCCACACCAAACTCATCCATGAGCTTTGTGCACTAGGGCACAGCCATGCTGGAATAGAAAAGGGTCTTCCCCAAACTGTTCCCACAAAGCTGGAAGCATAGCATTGTCCAAAATGTCTTGGTATGCTGAAGCATTAAGATTTCCCTTGACTGGACGTAAGGGTCCTAACCCAACCGCTGAAAAACACCCCCACACCATAATCCCCCCTCCACCAAACTTTGGTGCATGCTTTACACCACTCCATCCGACGCTTGGCATTGTAATTGGCGATGTGAGGCTTGCATGCAGCTGCTTAGCCATGGAAACCCACTCCATGAAGCTCCCGCCGCACAGTTTTCCTGCTGATATTAATGCCAGATGAAGTTTGGACTGTTCGGCTATGGAATCAGCAGAGCATTGGCCACTTTTACGCACCCGGTGACTCCGCTCTGTGACTTTACATGGTCTTCCGCTTCGTGGCCGAGTTGCTGCTGTTCCTAAACACTTCCAATTTCCAAAAATACCACTTACAGTTGACATATAGTGTATGTCCTACACAAGTAGTCAACAGAAGTCAAAGATTTGCAGTTCTGACAATTTTGATTAAAGTTATGCAAATGAAAAGAGATGGGGTGAATACAGAAATGAAGGTTTTTGAGGAAAACATTCCAGGACTTTTCTCCATATAGAGGACTTCAACGGTTATCAATGGGTTGAAGGTCCAAAATGCAGTTTCAGTGCAGCTTCAAAGTCTCTACACGATCCCAGCCGAGGAATAAGGGACTTATCTAGCCAAACCATCCCTAATTTTCTAAAAAAAAAAAAAAAATCTATATATACTTTTTAACCACAAATTCTTGTCTTGCACGTCCACGACTTCACGCATTACGTAATCATGTTTAAAGGTTACGTGTGTTCCGGTTCAAAAAGCTGGGGCAGGGTCGAAAAAATCCATCTTATTTTCTCCTTCAACTTCAAAATCGTCCAACATCGTTGTTTTACCTTTTATTTTAAATTTTGACTTAGTCTTTGCACGTTCACTTTGTAAACAGCTAGTAAAGAGCGAGTGCAAGATGAGCAATTGTGGTTAAAAAGTATATAAATGTGTATTTATTTTTAGAAAATGAGCGATGGTTTGGCTAGATAAGACCCTTATTCCTCGGCTGGGATCGTGTAGAGACTTTAAAGCTGCATTTGGACCTTCAACCCGTTGATAACCGTTGAAGTCCACTATATGGAGAAAAGTCCTGTAATATTTTCCTCAAAAACCTTCATTTCTTTTCAACTGAAGAAAGAAAGACATGAACATCTTGGATGACGTGGGGGCTGAGGAAATTTTAATTCTGAAGCGAACTACGCCTTTAAGTATTTATTTCCTCCCAGTTTTGGGCACATTCATTTTCCTCATGCCTTTCTTTGTTCCTCTGTGGTCAGATCTTCCTAGACATGGTGGAGAACTACCCCACCAGCCTGCGTGTCCTGGTTCTGGCGGAGAACGACATCAGCCCGGAGCTGCAGCAGCAGATCTCGGATCTCCTCTCCGAAGGCGAGGAAGAGGAAGAGAAGGACGGGGAGGCTCGCGGGAGCGCGGTGACCCCCAGGGAGAAACCCAACTGGGTTCCCCACAGCAGTAAGGGCTGACCCAGCCTCTCTCTCTCAGCCTGTTCTCTTTGCTTCAAGACTGTTTCACTTAGATTCCCGCTTTCTCTTCCCCTCTTTGTTTGTGGATGACTTTCCTGCAGTAACTGGTTCTAAGAGGCTGGGGCAAAAGGGAAGTACAGAAATTCACATTTCTCATGCATTATTTAGGAGAGATCATTTACTACTTACGAAATAGAAATTTGAATTTCTTATAATGGCCAAGTTGTGAGTTCTCTGTCCTGTATGTACTGAAGTCTTTAGACTTAGAGGTTATTATTAGTAAAGATACATGTTAAAGGAAGAGTTCAGCCAGAAATGATCATTCTGTCATCGCTCAGCTTCATGCCGCTTTAAACCTGTATGACTTTTTAAGCAAAACGTGAATTTTGGATGCATATCCCGACCATTCCTTTCCATATAATGAAAGTTAATGGGAACTGGAGATGTCAAGCTTCAAAATGACAACAAAAAAAAACACCTTAAAAGTGTCAAACAAGTAGTCCATATCAGTACAATCAATAGGCCCATTTACACCTGGTATTAAGATGCGCTTTGGTCGATCGAATCACAAGTGGACGATGCTAAATACAGGTGTAAACGGGGTCTAAAATGTTTTGAGCTTGACCACTTTCAACCACTTCCAGAGCTAGTCGAAAACGCATTTGACCGGATTGCTTTCGTAGTGTAAACGCTCATGTGTTCAAACAGCCAAAGACCGTCTTCTCTCCGTCTACTGAACTAATGCATAAACATTATGGGAAGAGCACTAGCCAGACGGGATTTAAACTTTATCGGCTGAAGACCCAAGTTTGAAAAACATAACAAGCACAATGTTCTCTCACCATTCCTGATTTCTAACACACTCACAGCGTTCGGCTGGTCTTGCGGTTGTCAGAGCCGAAACTAAAGCTGATGCTCTGTATGTTTTTCCGTCGTCTCCGGTCACGTTCATATGTAAATTGCGTCCGCTTATTTCGTCCATTAGATCGAAAAATCTGAAAAAGTCCATACATTTACTCGCCCATAGACTCTCCCCTCGAAGAATACAGGACAGAAGTGGTTGAAAGTGGACAAAAGAGACGGATTAAAACACCAGGTGTAAACGGGAATGTGTCTCCCTCGTCTACTCGTGATCCGATCGACCAAAACACATCTTAATACCAGGTGTAAACAGGGCCAATGATGTCAATGCCCCATTTTTATAGTCCACAAGACTTTTATAGTCAATTTCAGAGCTTGGGCAAGATGATCTTAAGAAGGAAAGCTGACATTTTTGTTCCACACTGATTTGGCATATGGTCCACAAGATGCAGGGACTACTTTTATCTGTTTTTGAGAGATATTTTGGAGCCTGAAAGACCCAGTCCCAGTCAGTAAGATTTTTTTTTTGTAAAGAAATTAATACACTGTAACAAAACAATTCTTTCAAATAAATGCTGTTCTTTTGCACTTTCTATTCATCAAAGAATCCTGAAAACATTAATCATGGTTTCCACAAACATACTCAGCACGAATGTTTCAACATTGATAATGATAAGAAATATTTCTTGAGCAGCAAATCAGCCTATTAGAATGATTTCTGAAGGATCATGTGACACTGAAGACTGGAGTAATGATGCTGAAAATCCAGCTTTGATCGCAGAAATAAATTACATTCTACAATATATTAAAATAGAAAACAGTTATTTTAAATTGCAATAATATTTACAACATAACTGTTTTTACTGTATTTTGATCAAATAAATGCAGCCTTAGTATGAAACTTTGAAAAACATAAAAAAAAATCTTACTGACCCCAAACTTTGCTAGTGTGTATATGAGGAAGCGCGGCCAGGATATTCTCCAAAAATACACCGGACAAGAATGTGAACTATCCCTGCAAGGAAGAACCTTTTGTAGACTAAGATCTGGAGTAGCCTTTTCATACGTTTCAAACATTTACCAAATTGTCTCTGACCCTTCCAGACTCTTCCAGCTCCCAGATGGTCCTGATGACATCAGGCCTGGGCGAGAGCTTTCTGGCAGAGACAGAGATGTGATACTGGAGCTGCCTATGTGTTGTGCTCGACCACTGCAAGAGCGCACGTCTCACACCGCATGACCTGTAGCATTTAGCGCCGAGCTGGAACAAAAACCTTAAAACACCAAGTGACTTATAATACGCAATAGTGAATTATTTATTTTACAGATGTACAGTCTATTTATAAATGAGTATTTAACCGATAACAGCATACTCTGTTAGATGAGTTGATGTGATGGCCTGATGCCTGAATAAATCAGTTTACATCTTTTTAAATGCTTTGTTTGTTCTTGTTGTGTCTGACCCGACAATTCAAATACATTAAAGAGATATACATGGTTAGTATTGAATGGCCATAATTTGCAGTGGAATACTATTATTTAGTTATTACACATCCCAGACAGCAACATAGTGTCGGCCCAGATCCGGGCCACATCCGGATTTCACACGTACAAGCCCCCACACTATTTAATTGTGTTTAAGAGCAGAATTTCTGGTGGGAAACTACATTACCCATGAGTCTGCAAAGAAACCTCTAGCAAATCAGAGAATTGAAACAAACAAACTGTGCCAAAAGAGCACTGTGAATAATCCAGTCAATCTCCTTAAGCTTTAAAACTACAGTACTTAAATATTTGTTCATATGTGCATATTTTGCAATAACAAATAAATAAGTGTTATTTCAAAGTGCACAGTTAACATCTTTTAGTTTGTTCCCTCGTTAAAGCTGTCATTTGAAAATCAGAGAAAGGCACAAGACTGTAATTAACGTCTTTAATGAGGGAAAAAACTACAATCGCATGAAACACTGCCAATGACTATCATTTAAAAAAAGATGGACAATATAAAACTTCATTTCAAGTTGCTGATTGTATTTATAGAAACAATATATTTGAAGTGTATTGCAAAATGATAGACTATATATTCTATATCAAACTCATCTTTGATCACCAAAATGACATTTAAACGTTTTTTCCTTGAAAAAAAAAATTAATCATGCCTTAAAATAGCTTGAATGTAACTCTACACCCTTGCCGCATTTAGTATACACGGTTCTATGAATATGCAAATGAGCCCCGCCTCCACTCACTCACACCTGGTTTGATTGGTCTTTGGACCGTCTTTTTTTCACTGCAGTTTTAAGGAGAAAATACTCAGCAATGGTGTTGACATGAATTTGTACATGGTTTGTCTTAAAGCATATTAAAAACACCACAGAGACATATAAACAACATTAAAAGCTTGATTTTCACCACAGGGGGACTTCAAGATTCATTTATGCATTATACTGTTACATTTTTTTTCAGAGTAATTTATCCAACACTATCATGGGTAATGTAGATTTTCACCACAAATTCATCTGTTAAACATGATTATTTTAAAAATAAGTTGAAGTAATGTGGGCTGATGGCAACAAAAGCATATGAACCTCAGAAATCACAGTAGGTGTGTCTTTAAAGTTTTTACTTCTATAACCTAACTGTTCCTATATTCGCCATAATCCATGGCAATTCTGTAATATGAGTCCGCTCATCCGGTGTCGATTGTTTTCTAGTGAAAGCAATTATAAAGTGAAATTATTAAATAATTTAATCTCAAATAAATTCATGTATTTATTTATTTGTTTATTTATAAGCCACGTACGTGACTTGCCATTGTAAATGACTGTACATTATTTGTCATATATATATTGCTGGCACACGTTGTATGATCCTGTTTCTCCAGTGAACACCTGTCTGTTTCCATTAGGTGTGTGTGTGTGTGTGTGCGCTTCAGAGGGGTGTCTGATGTCCTAATGCTGTTTGATGCCACCATCTTTTCACAGTCTCCTTCATTTGGATTCAGGCAGTCGTGCGGCGTGAATACGACACTCCTACTCGGAATACATCCAAGCATTAAAGTGTGGTAGCGCAGTGAAAAAAGGCAGACATTACCATTACAGTCACATCAGCGTCACATCCCAGCGCTTCGGTACGGTTACAGCGGCTCCTGTGCAAAGATGATTACGTTGTTTATACCATTTAGAACAACTGCGATCCACATTTAAGTCGTCCCAGATCCCTGTGCCTCATGCATTTTTAACCTGCACTTTCTCTTCTGCACAGCGGGGTGATATGTTAAAAGCCTGCTGTTTTTAGAGAGCGGTTTTTGTTAGGAAATCGTGAAGTTTTTGAGCATTTCAGATGCAGTTGTAGCACGAGGGTATTAAAAGCGTTTGTGTTGAGTCAATAATTGAATCCACAGCACAGGGGTTCCAGTGTAATGTGGAGTTCAGAAGCTTTGTGCCGCTCGCAGCCAAGACTTATTTACACAGCACCTTTTCTTTTATGATATGAGTCTGGCCAGAGCATATCATCTTACACAGTTTATGTGTGTGTGTGTGTGTGTGTGTGTGTGTGTGTAACAATATATAGTAACAAACACAAACAGTACTATTTACAATAGTATCACACACACACACACACACACGTACATGTATACGGAATACCATACAAATACACACAGTTTATGTGTGTGTGTGTGTTTGTAACGATATATAGTAATAAACAGTACTATTTACAATAGTATCACACACACACACGTACATGTATACGGAATACCATACAAATACACACAGTTTATGTGTGTGTGTAACAATATATAGTAATAAACAGTACTATTTACAATAGTATCACACACACACACACACGTACATGTATACGGAATACCATACAAATACACACAGTTTATGTGTGTGTGTGTGTTTGTAACGATATATAGTAATAAACAGTACTATTTACAATAGTATCACACACACACGTACATGTATACGGAATACCATACAAATACACACAGTTTATGTGTGTGTATGTAACAATATATAGTAATAAACAGTACTATTTACAATAGTATCACACACACACACACGTACATGTATACGGAATACCATACAAATACACACAGTTTATGTGTGTGTGTGTGTGTAACAATATATAGTAATAAACAGTACTATTTACAATAGTATCACACACACACACGTACATGTATACGGAATACCATACAAATACACACAGTTTATGTGTGTGTGTGTGTGTGTGTGTGCGTGTAACAATATATAGTAATAAACAGTACTATTTACAATAGTATCACACACACACACATGTACATGTATACGGAATACCATACAAATACACACAGTTTGTGTGTGTGTGTGTGTAACAATATATAGTAATAAACAGTACTATTTACAATAGTATCACACACACACACGTACATGTATACGGAATACCATACAAATACACAGTTTATGTGTGTGTGTGTGTGTGTGTGTGTGTGTGTGTGTGTGTGTGTGTGTGTGTGTGTGTGTAATAATATATAGTAATAAACAGTACAATT